AGGACAGGAAATTTTCCCCAGGCTATTGAGTCTCTGTTGCAAGATAAAAATTGTAACACAGCAAGGTCGCTGGCTCAAAGACAGACAGGTTACTAATTGATATATTAAGTTACTAAAAAACTGCTGGAGGGAAAAGGAATGTTTGCTAGATCAAGCCTTTGTGCAAATTGCATTACAGAAGGTCACCTTGCTTGACTTATTGAATGTTACCAGCTTCTATGGTTAAACTTGTTAAACTATACTTAGCAAACCCCCACCTATGTCTCTTGCTGTAACTTCTTGGTCTGGAGAATACATGCAGGAAGATCACCCCAATTCGTTTTTAGTTTCCCAAATGGAAGAAATGCCTCACGCTTGAGGAAGTTCTAGGATATCAACCCCTTTCTGGGGCTTCTCACTGCTCAAAGGAGATGGGCTTTGAGTACTCTTTGGTGGCTCCATCACCCAGGGGATAAGGGATGACAAATCCGTGGTAGGCAAAGCAACAAGAGGACCCCCCCCCCTTTTTTTTTTGCTGGAAATGTTGCCTGGATAAGGCTGTACAAATAAATGGCTGTAAGGTTGTGGGCACCTCCACTCTTGAAGTGTCCTTCACTGAGGTAGCAAGGCTGTTCCTGGGACCCAGAACCCCTCTGATGAAGGGGGCTTCTACCTTGTCGTTACACTTGCAAGTAGTATTTGCATATGGTTTGACACTGCATTTGATCCTAGAAAGGGGAGCCATCCTTAAGTTTGATGGGTGCTAAAACAGTGCTATTATTTGTAGTAACTACCTATTATGAAAGATCCTGGAATAAATGCTTTCTCAAAATTATCTTATTTGTTCTGCACACAGTCCTATCTGTAGGTAGATTCTAATTCCAATTTGGGAATTCCAACTTGTGGAAGCTGAGGTTTGGAGGGTATAGAGGTTTTAGTTTTTTTCCCACTGCCCAAGATTCTTTTCTTTCATTTTCTGTTGTTTTCTTAGTGAAAGTCTTCTATAACTCTGGCAAAATTTTAATATCCTGCCCTGCTGGTCAGAGTATGAATGAGTAACCCAGGATCAGGAAATCTCCTAATGGTGATTCTGATTAGAGTTCTTATTGGGGATTTTATATCCAAATGTTGAGAAGTTTTCTTTTTCTTCTAGGGTCATTACATGGACAAATGGAAGTTTGGACTACAATCTTCTCTTTTTCTACATTTTGAGGGAATCCTGCCTATAATAGAAGAGGAGACACACTGGGAGAAGCAAAGCCAAGAGATGGAGAAAAAGAACATTGCTATTTTTTGAATCTCTGAGGCTGGGTACATTATTTTTGGAGTGAAATAACTCAATTTTGCTTTGTCTTTTGAGTTAGAGTTTGGTCATTTACAACCAGAAAGTTAATTAGCTGGCCAACAATTATGTAGTTAAGGAGCATGCAAAGCTGGTTTTTTTTAAAAAGATGACCGGTAAGGGGATCTTAACCCTTGACTTGGTGTTGTCAGCACCACGCTCACTAAACGGCCATCCCTAAATGGGATCCGAACCCGTGGCCTTGGTGTTATCAACACCACACTCTCCAGAGTGAGCCACAGGCCGGCCCCAAAGCTGGTTTTAAATCCAAGCCTGTCTGGCTCCAAAACTTGTGCTCCAAGCAATATTTTAGCCCATATAGCTAAGAGCGAGCTATTTTAAGTCGGTCAGATATTAACAGAAGAAAAAAAAATTATGAAATGCATATGATCACAACTGACAGACCTACTCTACTTAACCCCGAATATTATAACTCATCTCCAAAGCGTGAGGAAGGGCAAAAATACGCCTTTTCCGAGAGAAAAAAAAAAGCATTTCATTTTATCTCTGAATAAATCGCTACAGACGGTGATATGAATTCTTTAGGAGAGTAACTATTTCCTGTGACTTTGGGTGCGAATACCTTCATTCTAATCTAAGTGATCTGTCACTTACTTGACGTGACCTTGGGTGGGGTAATTCTTTGATTTTAAGTTCCCTCCTTAGCAAAGTAGGAACGCGAATACCTGCCTTGACATCCCTTTCCAAGGGAAATTGAAAAGATCAGAGACAAAATACTCTCTAAAATACCAACATTTTAGATTTAATTTTGTTCTTGCTCTTACCATTGCTTAATTTTTTTTTTTCTTTTTGCAGCCTCCTTTTTTCCTATTGTATTCACTATTTCCTCCCCTCCTTTTGTGGCTTGCTGTTTATAAATGAATTTAGTATCCAAGGACGCCGCTTGACTTTGCAGGTCCATTTCACAATTAAAGAGGGGTTAGTCATTTGTTAGTCGGGGAGGGGGTAGGAGGAGGAGGGAATCCTCACAAAACAAGACAATAGTCTACATTCTAAATTGAAACGTTCTGGGAGCTGAGAAACCGGATTGGCGGGGTCATAAAGGAACCCCTCGCAGAGCCAGGAGGCGGGGCCACCGCAGCCCGTGTCGGAGCCCGCGCTTGGAAGCCGGAACTACAGGCAGAAGGGGGCGGTGGCGCTTCCGGAACTCCGTGCAGGCAGCACGGCTGGGGAAGACTACAATTCCCGACGTGCGCGGCGGCCAAATCAGGTTCTACCCATGTTTGCTTCTTCATTTTTTCCACATCTTACGACAGAGACAGCTGTTTAGGAACTGCATATTAGCAATTACAGAGAGACTGCTCTTTTCTGGAGACGCAGGGGGGCGAGAACAACTCACAGAATGCCTCTTACTTGTCGGGTGGTTAGATCAGGCTTCGCGGAACCCAATCCTACAGGCTGAGTTTCCGAAGGACGGTAATTGTGGCTGGACGCCGTGGAGCGGCAGTTTTAATTCTCCGGCGGCGGCAGATTGAGTGGACAGGATGGTCCTCACGGGGCTCATCAGGAAACTCGGTAATAGTCTGAGTTGCTTCTGGCCCGAGGCTCCCTCCTATCGTGGCCACTTGCTGAAAATAGTCGTGTCACGTGTCTGCGGCTGGGTCTCCCTGCGACGGCTCCCTCTTTTGTCCCGGCTTTCCCAGGACAGTCCCGAGGGTCCCACCTCGGACTTTGTAAACTCCGCAGTTCGCGTTCCGAATGCACCAGCGGCCTGCCTCTGATAAAATTTGTTTATTTCATTGTTTACCCGGTCCCCGCCCCAGCGTAAATAACGATTTTAGAATAAATTCTGGGTGGGCGCCTGTTGGAGTCGGGAAATAAAGCTGCTTGTGCTGTACTTCTTTGGCAGGTCATCAGCTGGCCGAGATCAGGGAACGAGCTCTCAAGAGTGTTCTCTGCAAGGTTGAGCACAACTTAATCAGCTATGCTGATCTAATTCAGGAGAGGCTCCTTTTTCAGCACTTGCTGGAATGGTTCAATTTCCCATCTGTTCCAATGAAAGAAGAAGTTCTGAACCTCTTGAACAGATTGGTTAAGGTAGGATCATTTTGAAATAATCAGACGCGAGAGGGTTTCTTAGTTATTTAATTGTAACATATATTGAAAGTTAAGTAATTGGGGTTTTAAAAAATTTGAAAACAATCAGAGATGTTGAATTTTAATTCATCTGGGTTTGCTCATCTTCCTTTTCTCTTATTTGTGATGTTGAACCTCACATTGTGTCTACTGTGCTTGGGAGTAGCACAGAACTACTTCTGATTTCTGGTACCTTCTGATTTTTGGAATCATCTTTGGAAGTTAATATTTGTCATTCTGTTTTTTCTTCCTGATGTTTGCGTGTTAAAATTAGATATGTCTGTATGAAAGAGAACACATTTAAAAATAATGTTACAGAACATGATTAAGAAATACCGCACATGTTAACTTGACTTCTCATATCTGTTTTTTTAGATTTATGTCCCTATGCCAATCTCGAGAATAGTTATTTGTCAGGGTCAGATGTCAAAGTGTAAGTTTAACCTTTCGAAACTGTAAATCACTATACAATCATAGGAGANAAGTTCTGAACCTCTTGAACAGATTGGTTAAGGTAGGATCATTTTGAAATAATCAGACGCGAAAGGGTTTCTTAGTTATTTAATTGTAACATATATTGAAAGTTAAGTAATTGGGGTTTTAAAAAATTTGAAAACAATCAGAGATGTTGAATTTTAATTCATCTGGGTTTGCTCATCTTCCTGAGGGTTTCTTAGTTATTTAATTGTAACATATATTGAAAGTTAAGTAATTGGGGTTTTAAAAAAATTTGAAAACAATCAGAGATGTTGAATTTTAATTCATCTGGGTTTGCTCATCTTCCTTTTCTCTTATTTGTGATGTTGAACCTCACATTGTGTCTACTGTGCTTGGGAGTAGCACAGAACTACTTCTGATTTCTGGTACCTTCTGATTTTTGGAATCATCTTTGGAAGTTAATATTTGTCATTCTGTTTTTTCTTCCTGATGTTTGCGTGTTAAAATTAGATATGTCTGTATGAAAGAGAACACATTTAAAAATAATGTTACAGAACATGATTAAGAAATACCACACATGTTAACTTGACTTCTCATATCTGTTTTTTTAGATTTATGTCCCTATGCCAATCTCGAGAATAGTTATTTGTCAGGGTCAGATGTCAAAGTGTAAGTTTAACCTTTCGAAACTGTAAATCACTATACAATCATAGGAGATTCTTATTTGGCATTCTCTTGACTTGTGGGGGTAGGAGATAATAAGGTGAGTGTCAGTGGAGTAGGCGTGCATTTCTCGTGTTCTGTGTCTTGGCTAATCTCTCAAAAATGTTATCAAGTGTTTTATGTACGTTGCTATAAATATGTGTTCTAGTCATAGGAATTCTTTACTTTGGAGTAGAGCAGTGTAAGGCTTGTTTTTCAGAAAAGGAACATCTGGTATACCAAAATAATTTCATGTTTTGATTGCTTTAAGGTAAAGTTTAGAAATTTTGATATTTATAGTTATTCTCAAGACTATTTTCTTATTTTAGTATCCCCCAGCAGTCCAGCATTTGATTGACTTTGGTGCAGTAGAGTTCTTATCTAAGCTTCGTGCTAATCTGGAGCCAAATCTACAGGCTGAAGTTGATGGCATTCTGGATGGACTTTTTATTCTTCCTTCAGAAGTTCCTGCACTATATTCTGCTTCTGACCAAACCAATCAAACTGGTAACTTTAGAATCTATTTGATGGTGTCTGTTTGTTAAAATATAAATATATTGGTTTTCATGATAAATTTTAAGGAAAGGGACATTACACTTAAAAAAGGATTCCTCCTACTCTCCTGAAACTTATTTTGCTTGTGTTAATTTCCATGACTTTGACCTTTTTTTCCCCCTCCAGTACTGTTACTCAAAGGAGGATACATTTGTATTTATTGCTTTTTTGGTTAGGCCTAAAAGATGCCAGTGACTTTGTTTTTGTGAGACTAGCTTGACAGATTATTTAACACTTATAACAAATTTTCATTAAGCACTCATCATTATGTATCAGACATTGTTCTAAATGCTTTATACTTGCATATTGGGGTATAATGTTGTCTGCCCTAGCTCATGATTTTGTTATGAAGACCAATCAAAGCAAAAGGAGAGAACAGAACGGAGGCCAACAGAAGTGGGAAAGTGGGAGGAGAGGGGGGAGTTAGTGAGAAATTGGTAAAGGGCCACAAAAAATGATTACAATGTTTAAAGTTAAATATGCTAATTGTCCTGCTTTGAGCATGACATATTACACACATTTATTGCTATTCCATGCTGTATCCCAGAGATATGTACAATCCATTATGTTTAAATTTTTAAAAAATTATGTAATGAAAGTGTTTTATATGCTGCAATACACAGTGGTGTGTACAGGTTAAAAAATCAGAGTCAGAGAGACGTGGATTTAAGTCTCAGTTCTGCTGCTAGTTGTGTGACCTTGGCTTAACTCCTCCAAGTACCTAATCTCTCCAGGCTTCAGTTTTCTCAGCCAAAAATTGGGATAAAAAAGGGGGAACATGTTTCTCATAGAATTGTGAGGATTAAATGAGAGAATGCTTGTAAAGTGCTTAACATAGGGCCTGGTGTATATGAAGCATAGCAGTGTAGCTGCTTCTTTGTGTTCTTGTTGTTTAATGCCTAGTATAGTGCCTTGCACATGGAAGGTATTTGAATTGATTTGAAGAAAAAACATGCTAATGCAATTTATGTGACTAAGTAGTAAAAGTATTTTTAAAAGTTTTTGATTGCTTAATCTGTTAGATCATATTTTTCTTTATACCATTGCTGCTAGTATTGCTACTACCTCAGTTATTGGTACTGCTGTTAACAACAGAAGCTGCTATTTATTGAGTTTTCTTGTGGGCACTGAATGAATTGATTTAAACACACTGCCTTGTTAAATCTTCAAGCAGCCCTTTGACTGAGATGTTATTAGTCTTGGTAGATGAGAATAGAAATGTAAAGTATCTTGCCCCAAATGACCCTGTTTTCTAATCTGTGACAGAGCCACTATTCTAACTTTGCTTTGTCTGGCTCCAAAATCTGCAATTTTTAACTATAGATTTTACAATTCGTAAGCCATTACAAATAAAGTAGAATCTTAAATTGTGTACTTTTAATTTCATTCCTTGCAAGTGAGATTACAAAATTTAGTTTTAGCCTTTTCCTTGTTCTCATTATCAGTGCAGTTGAACTGCTGAATATGTAATCACCTGTGACAGGGAATTGCAAAGGTATTGAAAGATAATGTTTGACTCTTTTGACAACTTCTTTTTAAGGTATTAGTGAAAATCGAGGTGATCTGGACCTATATAATTGGAGTAAAAGAGAGGGAGATGGAATAAGAAACATAGATGAACAATCTTTGAATATTTTTCAGATTCTTTATGTACGTTGTAGATGTTTTCATTCCAGCAAATAACTGTATTTTCCTAACAGTAAAAGAAAGAGGGAAAAAAACCTCTTAATTGGAAATTGGCTCAGCATTCATATTTTTTTCCTCTTTAGGAAGATAGAGTATTCAGAGAAAAAACTGGACTATTTTTTTAGTTTTTAAAATGATTCACAACCTAAGAGAAAACCTTATTGTTTACAAAGAGTTCCACTTTTAGCAAATAATGAATCAATAATATAGTAATATATTTTTTTCTTTTCAGAATTGTCAAAACAACCTGAATTCTTAACAGGATATTTCCCCCAAGACAAAAGTAATTTCCAGCAGATGGAAGTGCCTTCGCGACCAGTGGGTGTGTATATGTAGGGAAGTAATTCCTATTGACCTGGTAAATTGAAAATTAATGTACTTTTCCTCATTGCTATGAAGACATTGTGGTCAAACTTGAGTGTTTCATAACCAAACTAAATGTTTCAGTTGCCTCAAATTAGTTTAGGATATAGAGTGTAAATGGTAAAATTTTATGTTATTCTAACTGAACTTGAGCAACTATATAGGTAGGTGGTAATAGTGGCAGTACTACTTAGTGCTTATTGAACACAGATTCTTTGTCAGGCATTGTGCCATGTGCTATCCATGTATCATCTCATTTATTCTGTAGCTCACTAAATTGTACCATCCATCCAGTTACTCCAGCAAGAGAGTCAGTATCATCTAATTTTCTTCTTTTACCATTTATCCAACATCTAGTTCATTAAAAAGTTCTGATTTTGAACCCTCTCCCTGGAATCTTATCTTCAGGTCTTTGTGTGTCTGGCTGTGTCTAGTCTCTGCTCACATGGCATTTCATAAAAGAGACCTTTGTGATGATTCTAACCACTGATCACTTTCTATCTGTGTTTAATTTTCTTTCTAACACATTTCATACTCTGAAATTATATATTTACTTTTTGTTTGTCTCTCTCATTATAAGCTTAATGATATCTGTGAACACTGCTTTTTCCCCAGTATCTGGAAGGATGCTGAAAATGTATCAGGCACTGAGTATATATTCTTTGAAGGATGAATGAATCTCCACGGAGTCCCAGTGGGATTTAGTGTCACTGTTTTACCAATGAGGACACTGAGGCTTAGATAAGTTAAAAACTTGTCCTAGATGACATAGGAAATGGTTAAGTAAGCATAAACTTAACATTTTATTGCCTGCATAGTTGAGATGAAAAGGATATGTCTAAGAGTGTATCTGCTGATGTCAAGTATTCAGATAAACTCAATTTGGAAGCCCTCTGTTATTAAAAAGCTTTCATGGAAACTCACTTATTGAATAACAGCATAAGAAAGAACAGAATACTTGTTAAGCTGTCAAATACTTTACCTTTCCTTTCTTGAAAAGTTGTGTTATGCTTGTAGGGAGCTTTGTTTTTGAGGCAAGAAAGTAGTTCTTTGTGTTCGTGGCTTTGAGTGACAGTGCAAAATGTCTGAAGGGAGCAGAGATCTCTGGGGCTGGTAACATGGGTGTTTGAGTGAAGCTTATGAAAATGTTAAGGCCAATTGGGCTTGTTACACTGTTTTATGTGAGCTGCAGTTTGTGTGGATTGATGGTATGGCTTATGTTGGACCTGTCTTCACATGTGCCTTTCCTTCCCTCCACCTGCTTCTCACTGTTTCCTTAGAAAGTAAACCCTGCTTATATGTTAGCACTTTATTTTTTTTGACCGGATGACCGGTAAGGGGATCTTAACCCTTGACTTGGTGTTGTCAGCACCACGCTCTCCAAGTGAGCAAACCGGCCATCCCTATATGGGATCCGAACCCGGGGCCTTAGTGTTATCAGCACTGCACTCTCCCGAGTGAGCCACGGGCCGGCCCCTATGTTAGCACTTTTGAAAGGAGCAACTCTGTTATGTTTGGGAGTATAATAATACTGTTACCTGCATTTGACAATTTTATTTTCATTTCAAAACATTTGGCAGAAAGACTATTTGCATTTGAAAGGGCTTATGTAGATGCTCTTCCTCAGTGTTGCCACCTTATCTTCTACAACATAAAATCTATTAAGAAATAATTTTAATGAGGGTAGTTTAAAACTGTTGGTTTCTCAGATTTCTTTTAATCTTGTTTAAGTACTAATCTTTAATCTTATGGTCTTCAGGTCATCTTCATAGAGGTTAAATATCTAACACTGTATAGGATATTTGAAGATGACTAGATATATGATTATGTTTATGTCATTTTAATTTCTACAAGTAAAATTTTTCTCCAAATGCCAGTTCCTTTATGTTAAATTTAAGCTCAATGTTCTGGTCAGCCACAGGGTAAATTAGAAAATTTAATTGAAATTTTAAATGTCATTCAATATTGGTTTGTATTTAATGCTCTTCTTCTAATACTTATTTTAATATTATATGAGTTCTGTTTGAATTATGAAAAAAGAGCTCTGTTATGTCTAACCTTTGTTTGATATATTTTAGGTTACTGTAAGATATGACCTTTGTTTTGGAACTTGTTAAGGTGAAGCCTTACTCTTAACATTGTAAATCTGTCATCTTTTTATACTTTGATGCCTTAAGTTTTGCTATTCCATTAACAGTAAATCATACTGTGAAGTGTTTGAAATTTTCTACATTTCCTTGGCTACCTCTGACCACAACAGATAGACATGTTCTCTCCTCTAATGAAAGGTACAGTGCCTGATGTATTTAGGTATTTTTGTTCATTTATAGCCATTAAGTCTGATAGTTACTACTATACTTTTTCACCAGGAAAAGATGCTAAGTGGCTGTGGAAGGTAGTTATGGGCATATATGAGTTATTTTCAGTATTTCAAAAAGCAAGCCAGAAAATTCTTATTTGCCTTTAGTCAATCTGTACATTGTTTCTGTTTGTTGGAGTATTGTATAAACTATACAGTTCCTGGCAACATGAGTTTTATCTCTTGATCAAAGTCTCTGATTGGCCGTTGCTTATGCCCTTGATTAACAAAAGTGGAAAAATTAAACGTAAGTGCAGTCTTTTTGAAGAATGTATTTCAAAATATGGGCTCTCTATTAGAAGAAAAATTATACCTTGTTGAGAAGGTTCAGGACCACTGATTTAATCTTATGTAGTAGATATTAATTGGTTGTTACCCTCAAAAGTATATAGCTGATATGTAGAAGTTTGGAGAGTGTTTTAATGTCCAGATTTATTTTGTGCATTTTCAGTGAGTGCCACAACAAATGAGTTTGTCTGCTTTTTTGGGGTACTAATCTGGAAAATAAAGACTGACTTGCTAGGTAGAGTTAGGACCAGATACAGGTGGATGCTATTAAATATTTGATGATGCTACTTCTAAGGCATCAGTAAGTTCTCTTGAAACAAAATATTCAAAAGGTAGAGTACAAATGGAAAAGGAGTATGAGGTTGTTTGATCTGTCAGTTCTAAGTCAGTCCCTAGGGAAGAGAAGGTGGTATAGTTTCTAGAGTGCACCTCTGGATGGTGGTTGGTGGATGGTGCACAGGAACTGGGCTGAGAGAAGGGGTTTGGTTCCTTGGGGTCGGGGTGAACAACTCTAATATCCCGCAGTGGGGGGAGGGGGCAGAAGCCGAGGGGGTAGAGAATAGAGAAGTTGCATGGGGTAAGAGGGAGGTCCTAGCGATTCACCTATAGTAGGAAAGATCAGTAAGGATCCTGATTCCTAGAATTTACCTCTATACTTACTATTGTTTTTTTCTGTTTTATTCCTTAATTTATTTAGCAGATTTCAGTGAATTCTGTGTCCTTTGACCTGTTGATCTCATTTTGTAGCCTATGATGGTCTCTGGGCATACAGTGGTTCCTGCTCTTGAGGAGTATCTAGTGGGGAATACAAAGTCAACAAGCAATTATGATATCACAAAATATAGGCATAAGGAAGAAGCACCTCCCCAGAGCTGTTTATTGGTTAGGGAAAAGATTTCTCAGGAGCAGTGATGTCTCAGCTGAGACCTGAAGGATTGTTAATAGAGTCATTATGCTTCTAAGTTTCATAGAATCTGGTATAGGTAGCTTTTTAAAAAAATGAATAATGCTATATTTTGTAGCTCTTTGAGAAGTAGTAACCACACTTTAATCTGGAACACCTGTGAACTATTGAAGGATGTTATCATGCAAGATTTTCCTGCTGAGATTTTTCTTCAAAGGCCAAAAATTGTTCAGGTGAGTATGCTATAATTGTTTTAGATTTTGAAATAGAGAACTTTTTGCAATAAAACAGATTTTTCAGAGTAGGAGTCCTTGGGAAGGGAATTTCTACTAAAGTATTCAAAAAATGAAGTACTTGGCTATTTAAACCACTTCTTCTCTAACTTATTTGGATAGCTGTTGGGAAAATATAGGAAAATAGTCATGGCCCCTCAGGTGTTCAGAATCTTTCTGAGCATTTGATGTGAATATTCCCGTGTGCCCATGTGTTCCTTGGTTATTGTCTAATGTAATTTTGCATGTGCACCCAGGTGTCTTGGGTTCTGACTTAAATATAAAGGACGAGTGGCTCTAATCCACAGTACCTCTCACACCTGGGATACCCTGGGGAGGAGGGGAATGGGCGTGGGGAGGCCACTACTACTGCTGGAGGCTGTTGCTGCCAGTGCCCCCAGGACCCGCTAAGAGGCCACCGCTGGACCTGTAAGCAGCTGCCGCTGAGGACTGAACTCATGTTGCCTGCCGACGGCTCCCGGGACCTTTCCCAATTACCTAGCTTGTGGACCTGTGTGTGAAGGGTCTGGTGACCCAGTCTGTACAATGGGTTTGAAGGGTTTGAGCCCTAGCTTTGACAATACAAATGGAAGTTTAGTAAACTTATTATAACTAAAATAATGAAACATTTTGGCTTTAGTAACGATTTGCCTAACCTGACAACTGGCGTAATTGTGTAGCTTTACATAGTTATAGTTCTTCCAATAGGTAGTAGTCTCATTTGACACCTGTGGTCCATGTTGGCCACAGTCAGTTACCATTTATGGTCACTTAAAGGGGAGAATAGACTTTGGAAATTGAGGTTGGGCAGCAGTAACCCTTACTAACAGCAAAAACCACTTTGAGTTTAAGGCACAGTGCTAGGTGCTGGGGAAATAGAGTAGCTGTGAGCAATGTAGGTGGGTTCTTTTCCTACTCTATTGCTTATATAGCAGAGAGAGGGGGGTCCAGGTGGGTGATTGTGGCATATCCATAATGCTTCAGCATTCTCACTCTTCCCTCACAGGGCTGAAATGAATGGCAGTTATGAATACATACTGTCGCAGCTGCCAAATGATAGCAGAGGAAAAGCTGTTAATTACCAAAACGTGGTCAAATGATTGAGCTGTTTGAGATGAAAGGGCCTGCTGTGATTTTTAAAAATTTCTGTGTAATGTAATGTCCTGAATGAAGAATAATTCCTGTCTTCTCTCAGAATGGGCACTCAACCAACAGGTTTTAGAAATAAGAAACACTGACTATTCCAAATATTATTATCTTATTTCTACTATCTTCTTGCATTATGCTAACTTGTTTTTGTCCATTGTTGTTTCTTATGTCATAATTATTTGGCACCTTATTTTATTTCCTTTGATTATTCACTAACCCTTACTTAAGCTTCACATGTATACGTTGTTTGCTTAATCATTTCCACTGCTCTGCTTTCTTACAGAGCCTTTTATCTCTGTTGAAACTGGCCTTTGGAGGAGATGGAAAACATCGCCTGGCATTACAGTCAGTGTCCTGCTTGCAGCAGCTGTGCACATATTTAAGAAACAGACTTAACTTTCACCGAGATCCAGGTTTTTTCTCTAATAAACAGGGTATTTATGTTTATTTATTCACTAGCTACTGGTATTATTTGCAGATTATTCTTGTAACTCCTTATTATATTTACTGTTAGGGTTTACTGTGTATGCACTTTCACAACATAAACTCACCACTCCTAAATGTAACCAAATTATCATTCTTGAATGCAAACTGGATGAATTACAGAACCACCATGATCCTGTGCTCCTTTGCTCCCTTTTTTTTTTTTTTTTTTTTGATAAGAGACATTTACAAAGTGTTTTTCTTCTCCCAGATGTATTGAGATTTTCTAAAACAGTGTTGTTGGGACTTTGGGACTAGGGTTCTGAATATGGTGATTCATCTGGGACTTTGGACATTTTAGCAAATTATATATTGTAATACATTTTTGGTTTGAAAAATATTGACTTACATTTCATTAAAACTATTTTTCTGCAACTTGTGATGTAGTCAAAATATTGTATGACAGTAATGCCAAACTTTTCAAAGAAAAAGCACCACCTAATGGCTAAATAGAATACCAGACTAGCCTTGACAAAACAATAATCCAGGGAAGGTCAAGGGCCTCAAGGCAGCAGTGAGGGTGATGTGCCTGAGCAATAGAAGTAAGACTGGTGAGAGTGGAGTATAGTAAGCTAGGAGGGAGAGGGGAAATAGGCAAGATTGGGGAGGTAATTAGGGGCCAGTGTATATTGGAACTTGTAGGTCTTGGTAAGGATTTTATATTTTCTTTGAAGTGTAGTGAGAAGATTTTAAAATTTTCTCTGTAAATGCCTTTATTACCTTTTGAGGAATCGCCAAACTGTTTTCCACAGGAGCTGCAACATTTTAATTCCCACTGGCAGTGTATGAAGCTTCCAGTTTTTCCTTATCTTCAGCAACATTTGTTATTTTCTTTTCTTTTGACATAGCCATTCTGTGAAGTGGTATCTCTTTGTGGTTTTGATTTGCATTTCCCTAAAGACTAATGATTGATGATTCCATAATGACTTTTCATGTGCTTCTTCGTGTATCTTCTTTGAAGTCTTTTGCCCGTTTTTAAATTGGATTGTTTGTCTCTATTGTTGAGTTTTAGGATTTATTTATATATTCTGAATATCATGCCCTTGTTGGATGTATGGTTTGCAAGTATTTTCTCCCATTCTGTAGGTTGTCTTTAAGTTTCTTAATAATGTCCTTTGCACCAAAGTTTTTAATTTTGATGAAGGTCTATTTATGTATGTTTTCTTTGGTTGTTTGTGCTTTTGATGTCATATCTAAGAAGGTGTTACCAAATTCAAGGTTATGAAGATTTAAACCTATGTTTTCTGCTAAATGCTTTGTGGTTTTAGCTCTTATATTTAGGTTTTTGATCCATTTTGAGTTAATTTTTGAATATGTTTTGAGGTAGAGGTTCTCAGAGAGTTTTAAGCAGTGGAGTGTATGATCTAGTTTTGTTCTGTTTTGGTAGTCTCTAATGTAAGTGAATACCATTGGTTACAAGGTTCCATATAATCAAGTCAGTTAGATATAGACCTAAATATGCTAAGTGAGTACTTGTGGGAAAGATTGATCTTTAGTTTATTTTTACCTTTGTAGAAACGTTTCTACTGTTTTAATTTTGTTAATGTTTTTTGAAAGAAATGACACATAAATACTACATAATAAGTAATCTGTTTTTACTGAGGGATAATAATTTTATTCTTTTTTTTTTTTTTTTTTTTTTTTTTTTTTTTTTTTTTTTTTTTTTTTTTTTTTTTTTTTTTTTTTTTTTTCAGACACAGTTTCCCAAAACTCTTCTTTGTCTTATTGTCATGAAGCAAGAGGTACTCATCATTCCCAGAATCCTTCCCCAGGAAGCAGCAGCCCTCGGCCTTCTGTGGTTGGGCGCACAGGCCAACGACCCAGAGGAGACGGCCAGGATTGGGATGCAGTGTCCTCTAGGTGACTGGTGGCTGCTTCTGCAGGAAATAGAAAAGCTTAGTTAAACTGTGTGTGTGTTAATTTTAGAAGGAGATAATTACTTTTTTTCTTTTTTGAAATATTACCATAGGTATAGGCCTTATGTTAAATTACTGGCTTTCATACTTTTTTGACCGTGATCCACAGTAAGGATAAATGAATATTACTTTGCAACTCATTACACAAACATGTACTCTGTGTGTGTATGTATATATGTGTGTGTCCACCAAAACAAAATGTTCACAAGATAGCACTCTGATTCCATGTTCTGTACACTGAGCAGTATTTTCTTTTCCTTTCTAGTTAAAAATTAAAAAAGGAATAATTATTCTGACCTACTAAGTTGTTTTTACCATCCATGAATGGAATATGATATGGTTTAAAAGCATAGCTTTAAATTATAAATATGTTTTTCATAGTATTTTAAACACATTTTTGTAAGTATAATCATAATTCAAATGTGTGTTTATCATTAAAAGGAATGATTGGAGAATATTTTTATAAAACAAGGACTCCTTCAAAGGTGAACAATTTATGATATTTATTTGTGTAAATACAGATTTTCATATATCAAGTTTGCTTAAAGGAATTGGCATATTTTTTTATGTTACCTTATCCTTAGGCTGTAAAACTTTTAAAAACATATTAGTCTCTTTAGTGTCATTCTAAAAAATGTTCAGTAAGATGAACACTTGTCTGCTGGCTTGACTATTTTCCTGTGATAATGCTCCTGCAACAGGCTAATGCTGATTCATGCTAGCTGTGTGCATGGTGTTATGCCACATGCTTTGTACACTTCATCTCTTTTAGTCATCCTCTTCACAGTTCTATAATAGAGTTGGTATTATTATTATCATTATTTTACAGAGAAACCTGACATTTAGAGAGGTTATAATGACAAAGAGCAGAGCTGGCTTGAATAGTGTGATAGGAGAGTCTGTGGTCTTAGTCCTTATATTGCACTTGGTTGATCAGTCATGATTTTTCTCTTTACCCTTTTATAGCCTTTCTACCTCATTCTCTAGTGTGCTACATGCTTTTAAGTTTTCTGTACTGAGTAAACATGGGCCCTTTCAGAGTTTGAGAGAAGTCTGGGTCATTTCCATGTTTTGAGATGTTTGGTATCTTGAAATTGAAAAAAATGACAAAATTGATATAAAATTTGGGGAGTTATAAATGTTCAGTAGCATTAGTGTATCTCTGTGATTCAGCTTCAATTGTGGATGACATCAAAAGTTAAAATTTTGAGGTTCTTTTTAAATGTGAAGTGCAAGCCTTTCTACAGTTTTATCTTCACCCTACCACTTTCCACCAAAGGTAAGAATTTTTTGTGAAGAAAGCCGAGGAAGACAGGATGTTCCATTTTTTGGGTGCATTTTCAAACTCATCATATGTTGAGTTTACTAAGTAAAGTAATCTATCTCCTGTTATGTTTTTCTGGGAACATTTTTCAGTTGCTAACATTGGCTTTCTTAGAATACTTGACGAAAATCACAGAATATCTAGGAAACGACATGAGCTATTTAGTTTTGCTCTTATAAGTTGGTTATATAAGAGCTTTGCTGTAAACCTGCTTGTTTTCTTTAGAAATTAATGGATTATTAGTGCTAATGTTGATTGCTCCTATAGGAATGTTGACATGTTTTGAGATCATTAATTTGAAAAACAAAATATAAATGTATTTTTAGATTTTATTTACAATATTTAGTCATCCTTATGGACTTTAATCTCATAAATTTCTCTGTATTTTTACAAATCTGATCAGAATTGTTGCATGAAGTAATATAGTTGTGACCAGTCTGAAGCTTCTTATATACCAGGTAACAGGTGTTCAGTAAATCTGTTTGAGGGTTGTTTTCATATTCAAGGTTTATCTTTTGTTTATTTTACAGTGGAAGTAGTAGTCATGCTCAAGTAAACCCTAGGATATCTGTCCATTCACCTTTGGATATGGGACACATAGACCTGCCAGAGCTGGAAACTGAAGACACATTGGAACTACAGTTCCAGCAACTCAGTCTTCCCCAGTTCTGTGTCTTCATTCTGGAATCAGCAGTTCCTCTTTTAAGAACAGGTTAGTTGTTTTTGAAATCATAGTTCTTCTTGTACAATTTGTGTTTGTTTTGTATTTTTTTCTAGGGCCTTCCCACCCCCCCTTTTTTCTTCTATGTTAGGGTCTTTAGAGTCTATATTTAATTATCTTTTGAGATACAAATTTCTAGGAACTTAGTATGGTCTTTTTTATTTGTTAATTAAATGTGGATGCCATGGAGTGCTGTTCAGATAGAGTATCCCCTTCACTTATGGGTTTCTATTGGCGCTGGCTGTTCTAAATTAAGTTCTGACTATATAGTGCAATTGGAATAAATTAGAAAAGGTGGACTGGCATGAATAGACCAGAATAAAAAGATCTTTGGTTTTTGCCCTTTAGAAACTTTTTGAGTTGCTCTTGGTGGTTCACCCTTCCCATTCATTTCTTACTTAAGCCATGAAACATGTTAAAAACAAAACCCCCAAACCCTTGTCATCTTTGTAGTAATTTGTTTTCCTTCAAAAAACACACAAATATTCTGGGGTTACATTTTTGCTCAAATGTGCAAATGTCCATTTTTTTAAGTTTGAAAAGATGTACTGAAATATATACTGTTATGTAGTTATAATTTTACTAAGGGGTTATAACAATGATAAACACATGGCTGATATCTACCAGAGTCTAATAGTGAAACAATAGTTACCATGTATTGAGTCCCTACTTTGTTCAGCTTTTGTGCTTGGTTTTGTGTGCATTATTTTATACACTCCTCACACCAATCCATTTTATCCCTTCAATGGTGGTAGTTACTATTTTTATTCCCATTTTTACAGATAAGGAAACTGAGGTTTAGAATGGTTTGGAAACTTACCTAAAGTCATGCAGCTAAGAATAGGAACTTGAACCAAGGTTCTTCTTAATCCAAAATCCATGCTCTTAAATACTGAAGCATTTTGCAAGGTAAAGAGTTTTGGAAGCAGTAATGATTTTTCTCTAAATCTATATATTTTCAGCAGTTGGTAAACTTATCAAGGAGTGAATACCAGATGAGTGAGTTTTTCCCTTTTTACTTTATACTGGCAAGGTAAAAAATGTATGCCATGTTAATGGTTAAGTCCTGTGTCTATTTTTGGCCTGCTTGGAGGTGATGGGAGGAAAGCAAGAGAAAGGTAAGTGTTTGGGAAACATTTAAAACGTTTTTATCCACAGGAAAACCTGTGTACCCTAATTTCTCAGTGAGTGAATAACTGCTTCCAGGAGTTAGGACTACATATTAGTTCATATGCCACTAATGTGAAATGAAGGAAGATCTGGACTTTGGCATTGTGAAGTATATATGTTTATCTGTCTGGTGTACTGAGAACAGTTTTAGACTTAATGGTTTTGCATTTAACCTTTTCTTAATTTGCTCTAAAAGTCAGATTGATCATTATAAAGCTATATCTTGGTACATAAAAATTTCTAAATGTTCTCTTGCCCTTTTGTGATAATTTATTGCATAATTAGTAATTGTTCAATATCATAAGAGATTTCTAAGAGAACTTGCTGCAGCTGTTCTAATGAAAAAATTAATCTAGATTCTTATGATCTGGTAGTTTGTTTTACTTTTATACATCAGAAATTAACCTTTGAGATATTGGACAGGAAGGTCTTATTTGAAATATTTACCTCACATAGAATAATGGAGAGTGGTATTCCTTTGTTATTCTGTCTCTGTGGAGAAAGATTGCTCTGGTGGGTGTAACTGTGACAGCAGTTTCTTTTGGAGTTCAATGTGAGTACAGGTGCATTTTCATTAAGTTTCTTCAGCAAATGTGAGCACGGACAATTTATTCCTTTAGTTGCTCCAGTTTAAGCTTAGCTTCCCAGGCACCTGTGAGGGGAAGATGCTAATTTTTTTTTGATGAGGCTTAAGTATTCTAGTATTAGGTAGAAATTACTAGAACGCATTTTCTAAACTTGCCTGGTGCTTTGTCACGTATTGCATGTAACATGGATGCTGTCTGAATTTGAAAAATTATTTTAATCTATTTCCCAGTATTTTTAGTTAGATTATTGCTATTCTCTTCTTGAGTATCTTTTCCACGTGTGAGCACATTTGATTTCTTGTAGTCAAATAGTATGATTAGAACAGGAATCTTTAATGTTGGTTGTAGAGTGTGACTTCCTTATTCATCTCTTTCAGCGGTTCTAAAAACATTTTTTTAAAAAAAAGGCAGGAATTTTGGAGCATGACTAACTAGAGGATTGAGCAATATGATATTCAGCTGATTATTTGAAAGTTAACTGTTTTTTTTCTCACCTTTCTCCTTTTTGTATTCTTAGGTAGGAGACAAGTGATAATAAGAGTTCTGGAATTGCTTGCAGAAGATGTGATACTGATTGGTGAAGCAATTTCAGCAGATATTTGGGATGACAGCAGCCTTTTTGCTATAGATATGGTGAGAGTCAATGTTTTCTTTGGGATATGGGTAATAATATTAGTATTTTATTTTATTTAGGTTCTTTTAAGCTGATTTCATTGTCTCATTAGTCTTCAGAAGCTTTTTGTCTTTGTGATGCAGTATGTGCAAGGCTTACTTTGCACATGGTCAGAAACAGGCCATTTCTCCAAAGGTTTGGGTTGCTTTTAAAGGGGGGAGCTATATGAAAACCAAAAGCATGCCATTGGGGTGCTTATAGTTACTGTGATATTCTTTCCTTTCAGTAACAGATCTAAGATGTATGTATTTTTAAAAATCATTAGTTCATAATACTGTTTCTCTAACTTTAAATTTGTACAGTCATGTGTTACTTAACGATGGAGATACATTCTGAGAAATGTGTCGTTCGGCAATTTCGTTATTGTGCAAAAGTGTTTTATGAAAGGGGATAGTGGTGAACTTTTCTGTTATCTACACTGCCACTAGTTGTATGAATGTGGGCCCTCTATCTTACTAAGTCTCTCCGTGCTTCACTTGCTCATCTTTTAAATGGGGATTAGAATAATACCATCCCCACAAAGTTATGCAGATTAAATTACAGATAGGGAATGTGCCTGGCACTGAGCAGGCACTCCGTGAGTGTTAGCTAACTGTTATTAACTGTTATTTTGCTGTGGGGATGGGTGGGAATCATTTCAAAATGCAAGAATTCTAATGCAGACACCTTTTCACTTGGGTTCAGACCCAATGTGTGAGAAGTTTGGCCTTCTGTCTTAAAGGTCTGAGTTACCTTTGGGAGGGTCACCCATGGGCAAGCTAGGCAGTCCTCCTTACCGTATTTTGCAGGAGGTTTGTTTATACCAGCATCGCCACAAGCAGGTAAGTAATGCATTGTGCTACAAGGTTACAATGCTAGGAATTTTTGAGCTCCATTGTAATCTTTTGGGACCACCATGGCATAAGTGAATCAGAACATTTTTATGCAGTGCCTTACTGTATTTGTACTTTTGCTGGTGGAAGTTTTCTGTATTTCTAGTTTGTTGTATGTTTTTGTCATGAATGATCATTGGATTTTGTCATATCTTTTTCTATGTCTATTGAGGTGAACATTTAATTTTCGAAGAGCAGTGGTTCTTAATTTTGATGAGATTTGGTTTCTCAGTTTTTCTTTCATGGTTCATGCTCTTGATATTGTATCTGAGGAATTTTGCCTAGCCTGGGGTACAAGGATTGTTTCCTGTGTTTTCTTTTAGAAATATTATGGTTTTTGGTTTTATGCTTACTTATATGATTAATTTTGAGTTAATTTTTGTGTATAGTGCAAGGTAAGATATGAAGTTGTTTTTGCATATGGGTATAATATTGTTTCAGTACTATTTATTCAAATAACTGTCCTTTCTTTCCTGAATTGCCTACCAGCTGCCTATATATATGGGTTTACTTCTAGACTCCTTTCTCTTCCATTGATCTATTTTCTCTTTTGATGCTGATACCCAACTCTCTTTATTATTGTTGCTTATAGTACTTTTAGAAGTCAAGTAATGTAAGTCCTTCAACTTTTTTTTGTCCCCCCAAAGTTGTTTTGTCTGTTTTAGGTCCTTTGTATTTCTAACATGAATCAACTTGTCTGTTTCTGGAAAAAACAAAACAAAACAAAAAACCTGCTATGATTTTGAATGGAATTGAATTGAGTCTGTAAATCAATTTGGGAAGAATTGACATCTTCACAGTTTTGAGTCTTCTGATCCATGAACACCATATATGTATATCTCTGCTTATTTAGCTCTTTAATTTGTCTCAAGCATTGTTTTGAAGTTTTCAGTGTATAGGTGTTCTGCATCTAAGTATTTCAGTTTTGTGGCTTTTCATTTGCAAATTATTCTTCTGTTTATACATCTTTATACTTGGTATGTTTAGTAATTTCTGATTGAATGGTGGACATCTTGAATGTTACCTTGTTGAGTAACATTGATCTTTTTATTTTGATCTTTTTATTTTGTCCTTTTATGAGTTGGGTTTTTTTCTGACAGGTGGTTATGTTACTTGTGGCAGTTTTGTTTCTTCAAGGCCTTTTTAATTTTGCTAGAATGAGTCTAGAACAGTGGTTTTCACCTGGGGTCATTCCCCCCCCCCCCCCTCCGGGGACATTTGGCAATATCTGGAGACATTCTTGATTGTGGAATGGTGCTGTTGGCATCTAGGAAAGAGGGTAACTTTACACAAAAAATATTTTTTTGGCCCAAGATGTCAGTAGTGTTGAGGTCGAGAAACCCTGATCTAGAGTTACCTTCACTTGGTGTTACACTCTACTCCTGAGATGTGACCTCTCAGCTTCTACTGAATGTCTGAAGTGACTATTAATGAATCTCTACTATCTCTTATTGTCCTGTGTGAGCCCTGGGAATTGTTCAGTTTAAATCTCAATCGTCAATTTTGGCCTGCATTTATGTAGTTCCTATCCATAGCCTGAGCCACCTAATCTCAGCATGAACTGAATAGAATTATGTTTAGGTTTTGGAGCTCTTTGTTTGTATAGCTGCCACATGTCTGATTATTGTTCCACAATTTCTAACCATCTCAGCTTCGACAAACATCTTCATCTCCTTAGGTCATTGAGACTGTCGGGCTCTTTTGGGTTTCTCTTGCCTGTGTTTGCTATACTTAATTGTTTTCTGGTATGGACTCTCACTGCTTATTTTCTTTTTCTCTGGCATCACAGTCCCACACTACCTGTCCAGTGTCTAATAACAACTTTTTTCATATATTTTGTGCAGTTTTCTAGTTAATTTCTTGGGAAGAACAGGATCCATCCTCGTTACTACTTCATAGCTAGAATTGGAAGCTTTACATAAGGCTTTTATTATGTCATTGAAGCAACTGGCTTATCTGTAAGTTATTAGGGACTTAAATATACAGTTATCTATAGTGAAAATTCTGGATCACCGACAGAATAATCATCCAAGGTGTGGAATGATAAGGATGCCTTGTTCTTTGCTGTTTGTATTTTGGTAGTGGAGGTAATTTTAGAAAGTATGGCATTATATATGTATAAAATATATCTAAAATATCACATGTTATAGCATATTATATATGCATTATAATATATATAATATATAATATAATATATATAATATGCTATAACATATAATATCATATATATGTATTTGGCAAGAAGTATTTCAATAAGTATTATTTCACATGAGTAATCAACACATGTACAGTAGCCTTAGTAATGTCGTATTACAACATAATGTGTAAGAGATCTATGGTCAATCAGAGCATGTCTTCAAGTAACTGGAAACTATCTTTTTTCAATATATCATAAATCATTTGTCATATTTTTTGTTTTGACATTATTATCTGATAAACTTGCCTTCCTTGAAGAGTTGGTGTTCTGTCTCTTCTGTTAATGTGAATTGGTAACATCTGCTCTTTCTTTCCCTCTCTTCTTGCCTCTCTCCTTCTCTTCCTTCTTTCCTTTCTTTTTGCTTGCTCTGTCAGGGAAATATAACCAAAACTTACAAGTCATAAAACAATGTTACTAAATTTTCTGTTTCTTTATATTATTTTGATCTAAGTCCGTCTATATTTAATTAAACTTTGTTGCAGGCTGTCTGAAATCCTTGTAAATAGAAGCCAGAACATAAAAAATAAGTAAAATACAAACACATAATACTGAGACCTGTGTGTGAAAAAAATCACAAACTTTAATTTTTCTTTAACAACACAAACCTCTTGAAAAGAGAAACAAATTGCATATTTTACAATATATATAATAGCTTTTCAGGTCCTTCAATTTCTAATAATAGTTCCTAATCTTATTTTTTCTTTAGTCCGTAAGGTTATCACACTATTTTATAGTACTTTTAGAAGATTTTCACATGTTGAAGGCTTTCAACAAGTGAGCTTTTTTTTTTTTTTTTTTTTTTTTTTTTACAATATATATAATAGCTTTTCAGGTCCTTCAATTTCTAATAATAGTTCCTAATCTTATTTTTTCTTTAGTCCGTAAGGTTATCACACTATTTTATAGTACTTTTAGAAGATTTTCACATGTTGAAGGCTTTCAACAAGTGAGCTTTTTTTTTTTTTTTTTAAGTGTGAAGAATGCTTTATCAGTTGCTTCTTAAATTAACTTAAATTTTCTTGGCCAGAATATTTATATATAAAAGTTAGTCATTCACTTTTAACTTTTGGCTGCTGATCTTTTATGATTCAATGAATTATTTTTACTTTAAAGGTTAAATCTGTTGTGCAAGTGCCAATTGGTATGTTAGAAATGCTAAATAAAACAGTACTGCTTGAAATTATATTTGATCTACTTTTACTTGTTTAAAAAGAACAAACACCTCCTAGGAAAAATCTCTTTCTTTTGGTTATATATTAAAAGACCCAAACAAGTAAAATTTCTTAATGTCCTTACTTTTGCCAGTTTTAAGAAAAAAGATAGAAGCAGTGTTTTTGTTGAATCATTAAAGGAAGGAAACAATAAATGTACAGTTACCAATTCAGAAATTAAATACCTGAGGATATATAATCAAATCTCTAGTTATTTCCAAATAGTGTTAACATCAGTCATGTCTGGAATTTTATAACTCAGTGCACATATGTTTTTGATATGTCTTCTTGCTGGATAGATCCCTTTATCATTATATAAAGTTCTTTGTCTTTTTTATGTGTGGTTTTTGGTTTAAAGTCTTTATTTTGTCCTATATAAGAGTAGTTACTCTTGCTTGTTTTTGGTTTCCATTTGTGTGGTATATCTTTTCCATCCCTTCACTGTTAGTCTGTGTGTGTCTTTACATGTTAGGTGAATCTCTTTAATATGGCACATAGTTAGTTGGGTGTATCTTTTTAATCCAATTGGTCAGTTTCTTTCTTTTGAGTGGGGAATTTAATCCATTGACATTTAGGGTTATTGAAAGGTATTGTCTTACGTCTGGCATTTTATTGCTTTTTGTTTGGATGTTATAAATATCTTTTGTTCCTTTCTTCCCCTTTTATTGTTTGTTTGTCTTTGGCATTTGTTGTTTTTTTAGGTGGTAAGATACAGTTTCTTTCTCGTTCTCATTTGCATTTTTGTTCTACCACTGGGTTTTGTTCTTTCTTGTGTTTGCATGGTGATGATTATCGTTTTTCATGTTCCATATACAGGACTCCCTGGAGGATTTCTTGCAGGTCTGGTTATGTGGTGGTGAACTCCCACAATTTTTGTTTGTCTGAGAAATATAGTATTTCTCCCTTATTTCTGAAAGATAGTCTTGCTGGGTATAGTATTCTTGACTGGCGATTTTTTTCTTCTAGTTATTGAATATGTCATCCCATTCTCTTCTGGCCTGTAGAGTTTCTATTGAGAACATCCCATTCTCTTCTGGCCGACTCCCTGGAGGATTTCTTGCAGGTCTGGTTATGTGGTGGTGAACTCCCACAATTTTTGTTTGTCTGAGAAATATAGTATTTCTCCCTTATTTCTGAAAGATAGTCTTGCTGGGTATAGTATTCTTGACTGGCGATTTTTTTCTTCTAGTTATTGAATATGTCATCCCATTCTCTTCTGGCCTGTAGAGTTTCTATTGAGAAGTCTGCTGTTAGTCTGATGGGGACTCCCTTATAGGTGACTTTATGCTTTTCTTTTGGTGTTTTTAAGATTGTCTCTTAGTCTTTGAGCTTTGCCAGTTTGACTATAATTTGTCCTAGAGAGTACCTTTTTGGATTGAATCTATCTGGGGATCTTTGGATCTGAAGATTCATGTCTATCCCTATACCTGAGAAGATTTTTGTTATTATCTTGTTGAATATGTTTTCAATGTCTTTTCCTTTCTCCTCCCCTTTCAGAACACCCATGAATTGGATGCTTGTATGCTTAAGCTTGTCTGATAGCTCTTTTAGATTTTCTTCATTTTTTAAAATTCTTTTTTCTTTTTGTCCTCCAGGGTTATTTTGAAAAGATTGTCTTCAAGATCAGAAATTCTTTCTTCTTGTTCTAACCTGTTGCTGAAGCTCTCAGTTGTGTTTTTTATTTTGTTGAATGGATCCTTTAGTTCCATGAATTCTGCCACTTCCTTTTTAAAGATATTATTCTCTTTGTCAGTGTCCTCCTTCATATCCTGGAGAAGTGCCTGGGTGCCCTGTCGCTCTTTGGCTGAGGTGGGTGTCCCTAGGTGGGCTTGTTGGCACCCCAGCTACCATACCATGATCCTGATGAGTGTACTGGGTTATACTAGAGCTCCTCAGTTTGAGTGGGTGACCATGGGAGGGGTTTCTCTTTCCTCTTTCCTACAGGCAGAGGCTCTTCCTGGGTCTTTACTTCCCCCAGTTGGTGGGTGGGTTGGTGGTGATTGGGAATTTTCTTTCTTACTCTATTTGTGTATCCTGGGTTACTCCATTCTCGGGGGGTTCCGTATGTGTTTCTCCCCGATCAAGGAAGTCACGTGGGCTGCACACATACCTCCCACCCCCAGGGGTGCTACTGCATGTTGCAGTGTAATTCCCCCTGTGGGTTGGGCCACTGGGTTACGGGTGTGTTCTTGCTCACCTCTTCCCCGGGGCTCTGCTGGTGACTCTCTTTGTTTCAATGCAGTTGACTAGTCAGAGGGCTACCTGCATGGTAGCCATGGTTGCTGCTGTAGTGGCAAGCCTACCTTGCCACTTGTGTGACAATGGCAGGGGCTGGCTGCAGTGGTTCCTGAGGTCCCTGGGTACGTGCTTGCTCTCTATTGGGTGGAGGCTGACTGTGGTGGGTCCTTTGTCTTCCTTTTAGTGCTCCAGTGATTTGTAAAGAAGTATCATCATTTTAATTTCATTTGTGTTTATCTTAAAACTTAAATTTATTAAATGATCACTGTGAATAACCAAACAAGGTTTACTCCTTTATGTAATTTTAATTGTTGTTAAATATATGTAGCATAAAATCGATCATTGTAACACTTTTTGAGTGTACAGTTCCGTGGCATTAAGTATATTCACATTGTTGTGCAACCATCACCATTATCTCTCTATAGAAGTTTTTTTTATCTCAAGCTGAAACTGTACTTATTAAACAACAACTCTCTATTCTGCCTTCCCCCAGTCCCTCGTACCTTGTATAAGTGGAATAATAAAGTATTTGTCTTTTTGTGTCTGATTTATTTTACTTTGCATAATGTTTCCAAGGTAATTGATGTTGAAGAATGTATCAGAATTTAATTCCTTTTTAAGGATCAATAATATTTCATTACATGTATATACACATACCATATTTTGTTTATCCATTCGTCGCTCAGTGGACACTTGCGTTGTTTCCACCTTTTGGCTGTTGTGAATAGTGCCACTATAAACATGGGTATACAAGTCTCTCTTTGAGGCCCTACTTTCAGTTCTTTGGGGTACATACCTAGAAGTAGAATTAGATGGTGATTCTGTGTTTCACTTTTTTGAGGAACTGCTATCCCATTGTCCACGTGGCTGCATTATTTTACATTCCCTCTTCATTGCATGAGTGATCCAGTTTCTCTGCATTCTTGCCAATACTTGTTATTTTCTGGGTTTTTTTTTTTTTCTTCTTCTTCTTAATAGTCATCATAATGGATATGAAGTGATATCTCATTGTGGCTTTGATCCTTTATGTAATTTTTATAGACCTCATACCTTTTAGTTTTGTTTTCTGTACATTCATCCTGAATAAAAATTCTGACATATATTGGATTTTTGTTCTTAATTTGCAGGTTTCTTGTTTTTATTTTAATTATTTTCAATGTATAATTGAGAGCGGGAGCTCCTATGCTTTCTGTTGTTGTTCTACTATCTTACTGAGGCTGTCCTTTTACCAGCTAGTTGATGGAGGCATGTCAGCACATCTAGGATATATTTTGGTCTATATTGTTAGAACTTGCAGGTCAGTCTACTATGCTTTAGCTTTCTGTACATATTTTTATATACCTTTCAATTTAAAAGGTATAACTTCTATTTAAGTAGTATGTTACTTAGAAATTTATGATGACAGAACATTTTCCACTTGATACAACCTTATTATCTAAAGAAATAGAGTTTATAAAATTTGATATTTAATTGCTTTTTAATTATTTGACTTTTCCTTGTTTCATTTCTTTAGTAACTTTAGGATCAATTTGAGGTCAGAGATCGTGTCTCTTGTACTAATACTTTTTTTCCCCATTATGCTTGACAATGTATTAGTCATACAGGAAACCCAATAAATACTTCGTGGAGATTTATATGCAAATGTTCCAGATTGGAGCAGTTAAGCACTAGAAACTAGGAGGAATTTATCATTCATTAAGGTTTTGTGTTTTATTGTTTTTATTCGTTATTAGGATTCATCGTATTAAATATTTAGAAATTCTTAGGTTTTTTTTTTTAATGTAGGCATGCTTATCATTCTGTTGTACATTTTTATTATCTCAGCAGGTATTGGTTATTGTCACAGACAATAACAAATTTTTGTTTTGGTTTATTTTGCTATTTAAAGATAACATTTTAAACTGTTGTCAATGTTATTTGCATACTGGCCCCTAAAATTGATTGTTTTCCTGTTTTGTGTGGTTTAAATGTTTTTAGAAGGAGAAACTACTCCTGGTGTTGGGGTCTCTTGGAGAAACTCTGTGCTACCATAAAAGCAATGTCAGTTTGGAAGGACCAGAGGTCATACTAGTGCACCACAGAATGGCCTTTGTCAGCATCGCACTATTTGCAGTTCGACTGTTACAAACGCTTCTCCCTGTTGAAAAGGTAAGGCAGGTAATCCTGCTTACTGTGGTTTACTGAATATTATAAACAAATGCTCTGTTGTAAATTTCTTCATTTCATGATGTGAAGGCATTCTGTTTTAGACCATTTTCAAAATAAATACAGGTACAAAGATTATATGGGAAATGTGGAAATTGAGAAACAGGTAACATTTTAAACAGTTTTGACAAGTCATTTGATAGAAAATTATTTTTTAATCAAGCATTTGTTTTTATTGCATATGTTTTATTGCAGTTCTGTACATTTGTTTATTCCTGTGCTTGTTTATTTCGTGAATATCTATTAGATTACCTACAATAGTGGACTAGCAGTATTAGGTGCTGGACATAAAACTGAGTAAGTTAGAATTGGTTCATGGACTTATAGAAGACGAGACTTGCTGTTATCTAATATATACATGTGTATGTTTGACTTACCTGGTTTTCTTTCTTTAGTAACTTTGAGATCACTTTTGGGCATGAATCATGTCTCCTATACTAATACATTTTTCTCCATCAGGCCTACCCCTGTTTTTAGTCTCTAGTAAGACTTATAAATATATGAGATATTTAAACACACACACACACACACACACTGCATATAAGAGTACTTAAAAACTTCATGGAAAAATTGAATTAAAATATAATCCATGAACTTTTTGAATACTCCTCATAGGTACATGTATATACATATATATAATTGGAACACCGATATATCTTTTAATTGAATGAACATCATTGAGAGCCTACCAATCTTCTCATCTATACAAGGTAGTGTATCTTGGTTCTTATCATTCATATCAAGGTTAGCTTTTTCTTCTCTGTGGCTAGGAACATGTCGACAGAGTCCTTTACTTATCTTCATTTACCAAATTCCTTCACACATGGAATATAAAAAGTACTGTCCAATGGTACTTCAGAAAGTATTTCCTGGTTAGCATATGTTAATGTCATGTAACTTTTTCTTTTTCGTATTGTTTTAACTATTCCAAAGAGTGTCAGCAATGCTTTATTTAGTTCCTACATGTTGATTGAGCTGGTTTCCTAGGACTGTCCTGTTTCTTATATTTGTCCTATTTTATGTATAGTATTAGTCATATATTTTCATAACTTAAGTGATTTCTTTTGTGTGTTTGGCACACATATCTCCTCCCATTGTCTGCCTCCCTTCTGCCAGCAGCTTAATTGCTTAATATTTTGATTTTGGCAGCTTATCAAAAGAATTTCAGGAAATATGCCTGGTAGTATTAAATATTCTGATGCTTGTCTGATTCATTTAGTTAATATTTGATATTTGGTAATTTGTTTTAGTGTCTAAACTATATTTGTAGTTTGTGTTAATTATTATATGAATTCATATTTTCATATGTCTTTTGAAAGTCCTTTAATGATAAATATCTTACGTTAGTTATCTTTTACAAATCTGCTTTTCTGCCATTGACAGCAGTAAACTTTCTTCTGTGTTAGTCTTTATTCTAGTACCTTTTCCCCCTGTTTTTCTATTGTACTTAGTTCTTTATTTTTGTAAACATTGATCTTTTTAATATTTAACTTTAATTCGGAGTATAAAATGCTCATTTAAAAAATATTTTAATGTACAAAGAGGAGTAAAAATTTACCCATTTCAAATTAGTGTTGAGCCTTTTTTTCTTTGAAATCAAGTTGAGAACATTTATAAAAAAAATTTTTTTTTTTTTTTTTTTTTTTTTTTTTTTTTTTACTATTTATTACTATCTAATATGCATTTACATTTAATTAAGCACTTCATAAATTTTGGTGGGTACTAATATTTTACCATAAAGATGTTTCATATTTTGCACAAGCATTCTTCTAGAAATTAAGAATTTGGGTTTTTTTTTTTTTTAATGTTTTGATAAATAACAGGATGTTAAATATCTACACACACATATTTACTTATATATTGGATTCTTAAATTTCTAATAGGAGCATTACTGGATCAAAGACTGAAAATGCTCAAACATTTTTTATTATAGGCATAATTTAAAAACATTATAGTTTTGTAAGTTTTATCATTTTTATTAAAGAATCAGTAAAAAAAAAAAAAGTAGTACATGGAAAAGATAATTATAAGGGTATATAAGGGGAAAATTATTAAGAAGCACTTTGGAAAACTTGAAGAAAGTAGAAACTGCCCAGGGCCAATATCTCTTCTGTGTATTGCTAATCACAGTTTCTGAAATTGTGCGGTATTATAGTTTCATTAGGGCACTTAAATTTTTAAATGATTTTTAATACAGTATCAGAAAAAAATGTTAATTCTGTAAAGACTTTTTTTGGTGACTTTCTTCATTGTACTGTACTGTATGTTTAGAAAAGCACATAGTTCAGTACATTTTTACTAAGTGAATATATCTGTCTTTAAAAAGTTTCTACCCCCAGAGCAAGAAATACAACATTACCAACATTCCAAAGGCCCCTTCCCATACATTAGTCTCCATCTCCACCAAACTAAAGTCTTAATGACTTTTGTCACCGTAGATAGATCCGTTTGACTGTTTTTGAACGTCGTTTAAATGGCATTATAAAACATGTACTCTCGCAACATTTTTTTTGAGATTTATCATTGCTGTTGCTTGTAGCAGTAATTTGTTAATTTTTATTGCAAAATACCGTTAAATATGATGTTAATAGGTGTCAATATTTCTTTTGAGTCTTTTTTTACTATGTTTTTAAATGTGAAGTTATATCCCTGAATTTGAATGTTAGTGGAAAAAATACTTCAAATGATTCATACACAAGCGTTTGGTAGTGTACTTATTGCAAAAGGAAAGGTATGGTACACTTAAATGAAGGTATAGGACAACTATGGCAACTAGAGAACTATTTCCTCTGCCTTTTTGTTGCCCTTAGTTAATACTAACCATTTGTGGTTTTGTTCCCTAGAATTCTGCAGAGCAAATAGCCCAAACTTCATTTTCTAGTGACACTTACATGTGTAATATATCATTAGATCATTTGAAAAAATAAGAATAAAATATTAAATTTTACATGTAGTATTTTGCTGTACGGAAAATAACATCGCTTGTGTTAATTTTAATTTTTGACTTTTATTCAGTAGTTGTTTCTGAAGTAATTTTACGTTTTGTAGAGTGATAATTTTCCAAGGTATAAGCATTAAAAATAGAAGAATTCCAGTCATATAGAACTGGAATTGCATTGAAAATATCGGAGTCTTACTTTACATAATAATATTATCTAAACTGAAAAATTAGTGGTACTACAGTAACTTATTATTAATAAAAATTTCAATCTATCTGTAGGTTGAAGTATTGATGAAAAACTTATTTATTCTACCACTTGGATCATATAGTTTATTGCTTTTTTGTTTTATCTATTGCTTATTTGGGCAGAATCAATTAAAATAGAAATCAGTCATTTATCTTATTTGACTTAATTTAGTGCTATAATAGTGTAAAGTTAAATCTCCATGGTATTTTTTTGAAGGTAGTTATTTTTTATCATTTTTGTTTTTGAAAACAAATATCTGTAATTTTTGGTAGCTTTTTAAATATATAATTTGTAACTTCATTTTAACAGTTTTGGTCTTTGTAGGAGATTGTACTTAAGGTATTTATTTATAGATAGTTACATTTGCTTTGATTGATTAACTACTTTTTAATGAGATCTAAACAGAAGTGCTGTTCCATTGCTGTTAAATTTCTTCTTTGGTTTACATAAATGTAAGGTTCTGCTGCCCTCTGCCTGTTGTTAGCCCACCAACAATTGAGGTGGAATATGGACTTTGAAACTTTTTACCTTTAAGGTTTTTTTTTTGAATTGCCACTTACCAAATACATAATGTAGATGTTGGAAAATAAACATGAATTTATGAATAGACTTTCTGAATTTGGCAAAATGACCAAAGGCTTTTTTTGAAACTATTTGTAGATTTTAAAAGATTTTGGAGAATACTCATGTAGAGGTTAAAATAAGATGTTGATAATCTTGTGAAAAGTATTCTGGTTGGATAAACCAAATTGGTAAAACAAATGAAGGTAATTTTATTTGGGGAAACATCTGGGAAATAACTGTTTAAAGTACTGGCTAGCCAAGCAGACTGAGGGTAAGAAAGTCTTTTATACCACAGGCCTTTGGTTTTTCAGTGAGATGTATAAAATCCAAAGATATGGTGAAGCCACTTGAGTTGATTTAGAGCAGTGCTTTTCACACTGTAGTGTGCATACAGATGACCTAGAGATCTTGATAATCACATCTTGCATATTGTGATTCACCAGGTGTAGGGTAGGGCTTGAAAGTCTGCGTATCTAGCAAACCCTTAGAAAATGCCATGGGTGCTCTAAGTGGCTAGGTTTAGAGAGAACAATATTATACTCCTTATGACCCTCCCTACCCCCAAATACACATACACATGGGATGATGTTGTTGACTCTTATCTAATAGTGGTAATGGATTTGCACTGAACCATCTTCACTTTTAGTTTCAAATGATATGTGACTAATGCTTATATATGCAGAACATCTGTCTTAGGTTTGGGGTGTAAACTGTGATTTGGTCCACGTAGGGATTAACTTTATGACCTCAGCATGGTGCTTTGAGTTGCTGATATAAGAGTTTCAGATATAGGAATGCAGGGTGAAAATGCAAGGTGAAGTGAATGGAGGAAAGAAAGGAAATTAATATAGTATATATTGAGTGCTATATGTCATACATTCAGCTTAATGCTTGTTTAATTCTCCTAGCAGCAGTTATTCTTATTTTTCTTACTAGAGTCAGAGAAAGCTCTTTTAAGCTAGAACACAGTGCTTTTGGAGTTAGATCCACTAGGATTTACTAAGCACAGTGCCCAACTCACTAAGTCTCCTTTGCTAATTCTTTTTCCTACCTCTCCAAGGGAACCCTAGGACTGACTGTGGCCCTGATGAAATATCATCCTGTTTGTGATCTTTAACTGCCATCTATTTGTTGATGCTTCTCAAATTTATATTTCCAGAGCAGACATATCATCTGAACTACAAACTTGTATATAGCCAAAGTCCTTTCTGACATCTTCACTTAGATGACAATAGATAACTCCAACTTAACATGGCCTAAACCTAATTCTTTGCTTCCCCTCACAAGTGTGTTCTTCTGGTTCCCTGTTGCAGCAAATGGCAACTTCATTCTTCTAGGTGATAGTTGATCAGACAAAAACCTTAGAGCCAGCCTTGATTCCTGTCTTTTACTCACACCTAAATTCTGTCAATACCGGAAAAATGTTATTTCTCCCATGAATATCTATCCAGAATCTGAACTACCTGAGTTGAACCCACCATCCTGTCTTGCCTGGGTTATTGCAGTAAACTCATTGATCTGTCAACTTTAACTTTGCACTTTACCATCTCTTCTCTATACACTGATCTTGATACTTGCCTGAAACCTTCCAGTGGCTTCCATAGAGGACAGGTCTTTATGATGACCCAAAGCCTCACCTGAACTGGACCATTCTTCTCCATCTTTCCCATTCCCTGTTTTTGAAAAATTTTTCTTAGCACTCCTGGCCACACTTGTGAAGTGTACTGCTTTACTCTATGCTTTCTCCAGTGTAATGTCAGTTTCATGAGGGAAGAGGCTTTGTTTTGCTTCCTGCTGTGTTCCCAGAATCTGGAATTGTGCCTGGCATATAGTAGAGGAAAACAGGACGGTCCCAATTAATATTTGCTGAGTGAGTAATAGGTGAGCAATTTAGTTTCTGTCTCTCTCTTTTTTTCCCTACTAGGAGAATTCTTTACAGAACAATGAAATTTCTCTCAACTTCTAATAGCCGCTGTTGTACTAGTCTGGATGTTTTTCATGCTTCATAACACCAAAATTTGATTCCTATAGTTTCTGATCTTCATTTGGCAACTTTATTTCATATAGGGGTATTGTTGTTTAGCTGAATCAACTCTAAATCTAACATTTTCAGGTAATTAATGATTATCCTTAAAATAGGTCATCCATAAAATAACCATAAAATAGTGACCAAATCCACTTTAGTAAAGACAACATTTCATCCATAATAGTGAGTTCTGTCAAATGATTTTCTCTGAGCATTTAATTTTAAATCCTCTTCATTTCTTTAATTGAGGCCTAGAATCTTATCACAACACCAGAACCATTAACAAAAACAAACAGTTCTTTCAGGTTTATTTAAGGTTATTTTATATAAGGTTATGAAATGTATAATATTTCATTTGGGCATGTTGATTTTATGCTAATTAAGGGGCCATCTTCTGTGAGTATGCTAGAACTGTTTAAAATATTATGTTGAATTTCCCTTTTCCCCTCTAAAAGACAAAAAAATTTCTATTTAAATCAGTCTATAGCTGTATTTGATTTAGTGTTATTCAATTTAATATGTACTCGATAAGCCCTGTGTTATGTGTCCAGCTATGGGACGGGGAAGTGTTCTTGTCCTCAGGAGTTTATTGGATTCCTGAGGAGATTTGTGTGCATATGCACAAAATACTTAGAGAAAAAGACCTTGTGCCTTAGTTTGGTAGGTAGCAGAGGTATAAACAAGTGTAGGGTCCAGGGAGAGAGTAATTCTGGGTGTGTGTTTGGGGCAGAAAGTATCCAGTATCCTGGGCTTTGAGAAAGAGTTGATATTTGGGCTTGAGATATTTTGGGCAGAGAAAAATTGCATCAAACAAAAGCATAGAGATAGATGATGTGTTGGGAAATAGAATTTTCTTTGGAAAAAGTATAGTCTTTGTGATAAAGAAGTACTAAAAAGGAAGTTGCACTAGGGTAAGAGTATCAAGAGGTCTTCAAAAAGTTCATAGGAAGATTCGTATTATCTTTTAATTCCATTTTTATGAGCTTTTTGAAGTACCCTTATAATCTACTATGTTTTACTGAAGTTTTAAAACAAAGTTTTAACTTTTGTTTTTTTTTTTAATTCATCAAGGCAAGTGAGTTTTTACCAGAGCCTATGTCTGCAGCATTATTTCTTCTTTCTTTGGACATGCCTATTTCGTTGGAATATCCAGATATTCATGAAGCTGTTGTGGCCTATTTGGAACAGCTGAATTCTGAAAACTACAGTATTTATAAGCGAGCTGCAGAGGCTGTTTATTCAATTGAATGTACCTGTAACTTCCTATCTGATGTTGGGAAGGAGGTAAAAAGTTTTGTTAATATCTCTTTTAAATCTCTTTCATGAAATACTTAGAAAATTTAACCTATACTTTTCAAATTGATGTACATATAACAATTGGATTGTTAGAGGTCAGATGCATTATTACTGAGTGGGTCAATTATCAGAGTAAAGTAAGAATATGATTTGTATAAAAGTAAAACAAAGACTTTAGATTAATGAGTGGTGTATTCATAATATCAGTGGTCATAAAAAAAGAAGTTATTACAAATGTCATAATATTTAATAGCAGCTACTTTTATGAGGTGACTTATTGCATATGACATGCATGACAGTTGACATAACCAGAATTATAAGGGCCATTTTAGTGCTTCCTTGTGGATATATATATTTTTGCTTTAGTATTTTATAGATGCTTATTTCATTACTCACACGGCCTGCTTTTTAAAAAATTAAACACAGTAATGAACTACACTGTTTGTAAGGTAATAGAATGACTTTAGGTGCAATGTTATAGCAATTATTATGTATCAGTATTTATCCCTTTTAAAAATATTATTAGAATATCATTTATTTAGTATGTTATCAATGAAAGAGTTAATAGGTCTTAGAGACAGACATTAACTACAATAGTTGTTTACTGTCTAAAAATACCAAAATGGAACCTGACTATCCAGGAGAATTAGGGACAAAGTTTTTATTCCTTTTGGCCCCTATAGTGGAGTGTATCTGACCCTCATATTTATGAGGGTACTTCAAAAAGTTCATGGTTCCCATTCTTCTGACCTGGTTTAAAAAAAAAAAAAAAATGTACCACATGTTCTCACTTATTGGTGGCAGCTAAAAATAAATAAATAAATTCACACACACACAAAACTGGGGGAGGGGGGAAGAAGACATAACAATTACAATTCCTTGAAATTGATATGACAAGCGAACAGAAAGGACATTGTTGGGGGGAGGGGGGAGAGGGAGGAGGGAAGGAGGTTTCGTAATGGGCCACAATAATCAACCACATCGTATATCGACAAAATAAAATTAAAAAAAAAAAGTTCATGGAAAGATTTGTATTACCTTTTGATTCTGTTTTCCAAAACTTTTTGAAGTACCCTCATATAATTTTCCTTTATTTACTTACTATGGTGTCTTTTCTTTTTTTTTTTTTTTTTTTTTTTTTTTTTTTTTTTTTTTTTAACATCTTTTCCTTTTGCTACGTCTTGATGCCAAAGCTTATTGTTTTCTCTATGATAGAATTTCCAATAGTGTCTTTAAGTTAAATTATTTCTGTGGCATTCTGTATGGTCAGTTAATCAGTCACATACTGAATATCCTCTATGTTCCTAGAACCAGTCAGGAGGTTAGGGGAGGGAGGTAGATAATAAGTACACTAGCCCTGCCTTTAGCAGGGAAGGTAGGGCTACAAAAACAAAGAACCAGGCAACCCAATTGTAACTGTAAGCTTACTCAGAGTTAAATAATAGAAAGTCTCTGGTGGCATTTAGTGAGGGATTTTTCCCACATTTTTCCTCCTAGGCTGACACTTTTAGGTTGTTTCTTAAGAAAGTGGACTGAAACAAATGTGAGCAATCTCAGGGCTTCTGAATGATCTAATTTCTTTAAGTTGCTTATTGGCTGTTAAGAATTTTATTGCATATGAGCTTGACATTTATTGTCCTATTCTGCTTCTTTTTTAGGGAGAGAAGAATCTCTTAGAATTAATGGAGCTGGCAGACCAAGCCTTGCGTAGCTTTTCCTATCATCAGCATTTTCCCATAATAAAGGAAATCATCTGCATTTGTTCAAAGATGTAATTTTTTCTTTCTTAATGTGATTATATTTTTATAGGACGCTGTGTGTGTGTGTGTGTGTGTGTGTGTGTGTGTGTGTATGTAAACTTAAGAACGATGAAAATGAAACCGACCTTAAATTTTATTAATTTTTTTTGTCTAAACTTCTTTTATATGTGTCTGACCTTTAAACTGTATATGTTCAGCTGCACTAGGACAGTTAACTTTTAATCAAAAGCAGACTTTAAAAATGTCATGCCTATAACCAGAAATAATCCTTGGATTTTTAAACATTTGATTTTGATGTCCATTTAGACTAACTATTCAAGCACATTTGTTTATTTTTTAAGTTTTAATTAACCACTTAAATTGGGGATTTTGGTTTGTAAGATTCATTTTGATGTCCATTTAGACTAACTATTCAAGCACATTTGTTTATTTTTTAAGTTTTAATTAGCCACTTAAATTGGGGATTTTGGTTTGTAAGATTCATTACTTTGTACCCTTTTCTTATATGGATTTTTGGAAAGCACTATGCATTGGTTAATTTATTTTGAAGACATTGAAAGATATTGAAAACCCAAAATCTTCATTGCTTTTGGAAGGAATAAATTCCATGATGTAATAAACATCAATTAAGTGAGTTTTTAAAGACATTTTGAGTTTTTTTTGGTAGTCTTTAAGAGAGAAATTCTCTGCCCTGATATAAATAAGTGCTTAGATAAGTACTTTCTAATATTGGTTAGTTAATAAATAAGATCCCATTGGAGGAATTGAAGCAGGAAAAAATCCCTTCCAATGTGCTTTGCAATCATTTGCTTAGTAACTTACTTGCCTTAGATGTCTTAGATGTTTTACTTTTTTACCAGCTGCAAATCTGCACAGACCAGCCCTTTACTACAAGGAGAAAGTCAGAAGGTGTTTCTACATATGTTATCTCACCCATTGCCACAAGTGAAAGTTGAAACTTACCACTGCTGTTTGGAAATTATAAAGGTGGGGTTTTGTTTTGTTTTGTTTTGTTTGAACCAATAGCGGATTCTTTATTATATTCCCAAAATTTAATTACGTGACCTTTTGCATGAGGTATAAGAACTATACCATAAAAATAGATGGTAATTATTAATTCTAGGAGAATTGTACTGTTAAATTTCTTTAATAAGTTCAACAATTGAATTGCTTTATTAGAAGTTTTATTAAGAATTACATTTGTTGTGTTATTTAATGATGGAAAAATTGTGAAGAGAAGTTGATTTCCAGTTATTCAAAAGTGATATCTATGCTCAGGAAAAGTTTTAGGTTATTATGGCCTAGATTTTATGGTTTCAGTTTTCTTTCCTTAGGGATATTTTCATTTCTCTTTCTGAAACAAATATTTCTTTTTTATCCTTTTAAATGATAAAATGTTTTAGGGTAGAATATTAAATATTTCAAGATTCTAAAGAACATTGTACGTAGGACAGTATTGAAAAGCGTATGTGTTCCCATCTTTTGGCTATTGTGAACAATGTTGCTATGAACATGGGTGTACGATATTTCTTTGAGACCCTGCTTTTAATTCTTTGAGTAATACCCAGGAGTGGAATTGCTGAATCATGCAGTAATTCTTTTTAATTTTTTGAGGGACCACAATACTGTTTTCCATAGTGAGTGTGCCATTCATTTTACATTTCCACCAGCAGTGCACAAGGATTCCAGTTTCTCTGTATTTTGTTGTTTTCTGTTTTTTTTTTTTTTGAGAGTAACCATCTTACCGGATGTGAAATTGTGTGTCATCACGGTTGCTTTTTAATTTATTCATCAAGTTTTGAGTATTAGTTATTCTATTTTTTATTATTATACGTTTTCCTTGCTGCTTTTATTGACTCTTTTTTCATAGTAGTCTTTCATTAGTTTCTTTTGTGTTGTTTTAAATTTTAAACATACTTATTTTGTAATCTTATTTAGATCATACTATTATTTCAAATTTTCCCATTTGTGATAGCTACCAAATCTCCGTTATATTGTTGATTTTAGCAGATATTATTTTTGACTGTCAGGTCATCTTTGGCAGGGTAGTTTTTCCCTTAGGAATCTTGTATTCTCTAAATAGTGGTTTTACATTTGCTGCTGCTTGTCTTCAGAGATTTGACAAGAGTTAAAGGTGACATAGCTTGGGAGGAGTTTGTTATGAAGGAATACTTTCATTTGAATATGTTAAAATGTTTGTGACAAGAACCACTAAAGAGAGAAATCTTGCAGATACAGGGTGGTAAGTGGCTAATTAAAAGAAGCTAGTGACTTTGAAAGTTGAAGGCAGTGGGATCAAGAACATGATGGCTAATTGGGGTTAGATGGGCTTAGGTATAACAGGAAGTTTCTGTTGAGTCTTTTTTTTTTTTGAGATTGTAAGTGAGTAAGTGGGATATTCAGTGTGTTTCAAATGACTGGTACAAGTAGGTATTTGATAAGATCCAATAGGAGTTTTGGGCTACATTGAGAGCCTAGTCGATGGTATTCATAATCTTAATAGTGAAGCTAATCTACTTTGCATGCTTATCTTTGGCTAGCTGTTTGTGATTTTTGGGAATGTGAACATTTGTATCCATCAAGGATTGGGATATTTTATTGCTGGTGAGAACGAAGGAAGGCCTTTGGTGCAAATGAGCTGAACAGTTGAAGTGATAGACTGTAAAATCAAAGGATGGAAAGAGTAGAGGGAAGAAAAGTAGAAGGGTTTCTGGATTAGAGATCAGTGAAGGAGTATATTGTGAGTTAGTGAGCAAGAATATTAGAAACATATGTTTGTGATTTTAACTTAGTGTTCCTGAGATGAAGGACAGTTGAGTGTCATGAGACGAGGCAGTGAAGAAACTGAGATCCCTATGTATGGGACAGCTCTTACACCCAGAAATTCAAAATGGTGAGATAGATTTGAAGTTCAGATCTTTGAAGTGGATTTTAAGTAATTCTTGGAAAATAGAAAATTTTGTGGATAGGAAAAGATTTGGTGTAAACTGTATTATTGATGGATGTGATCATTTTGCTACATGATGAATATGAAATAGGAATTATTTGGATGTTAATTTATTAGAGGAATGATAGAAAAAAGGAAGATCAGAAATACAAATACATGTCAGTCTAGAATTTGTTTTAAAAAAAATGCACTCAGAATTCAAATTTCTGACATAATTTTTACAAACAAGCAGTGTACATTTTGTTAGAATAATCTGAATTTAGCTTGAAGCTTTGATCAACTCAGCTTATTCATATTAGTTGTAAAAGGGAGAAAAAATGGAAGAGTATGAACTTCTATTTAATGTTTTATTTTCTTATTAACTATTTGGAATTTTATATTGGGTGATACTATTCTCCTTGTAAAATATAATTATGATTTTTGTTTTCTCACAAAAGATACTCATCTGTATAATCCAATAAGGTGTTTTAAAATGGATAGATATTACTTTTCAAAGAATAATAATAATCTTTAAGTCAAAAGCTTCAGATGATGAAGAAAGCATATAGAATCTGGGTTTAGATAGAAAGATTTGTATAGTCATTTCACTTTTATTGGCCATATGATGTTATTCTAGTGTCTTTTGGAAAGTCCCCATGGTACTGTTGCAGTTCTACATAACCTAAATATAGAAGGTTGCTAATAATGTATAGCTTACTTTTTCTGAATAAGCAACTCAGCTTTTTTTTTTTATTTTTATTTTTTTTTCCTTTTTGTCTTTTTTCGTGACTGGCAATGGATCGCAACCGGCAACGGATCGCAACCCTCAGTGTCGCGCCCGTACCGGACCGGGACCGGCAACGGGATCGCAACCCTCGGTGTTGCGTCCGCACCTCGCTCAGCCAGTGAGCGGCCGGTCTGTATGTGGGATCCGAACCCTCGGCGGGAGGGCCGCAGTGCTCCCAAGCGGCGCACTGTAGCAGTGCGCCACCGGGCCGGCCCGCAACTCAGCTTTTTATTTTAAGACTTCCTTTGCACAAGGGATGGGAAAGAGGTAAATAGGGATGGTGACAACTTTTGTATTACTTATATATGACACTAATTCAGAAATATTTATAGGACATTTAATATATGCTCAGCTTTAGTGATATGATGGAAAAAGTGCAGAAAAGAGCTTACCTTTTGGTGGGAGAGAGAGAGAGAGAGAGCAAGTGTATATATGAGGGCACTTCACTAAGTACATGGAAAAATAGAATGAAAAGATAATACCAATCTTTTCATGAACTTTTTGAAGACCTCTTGTATGTGTAATAAAAATATATAAGTAAATAAAAGGGCATATATAGTGTTATAAAGAAAATAAAAGAGGGTAAAGGAGTAAAAGTGACCAAGGAATATGGGCTCAAATTTAGGGAGGCTGGATAGGGAGAGATTGCTTCTAGGCAGAGGAAACAGCAGGTGAAAAGTTCCTGCTTTTCAGGTGAGAATGCACTTTGCATATTTTGTGAACTACGAGAAAGTGTAGTTGGAACATAATGAGAGAATAGAAAAATGGTACCTGATTGGGTAAGGGAGGTAGGCAGGGGGACTGTTTCTTCCTTGCCAACTGTCACAAAGCTTCGGACTTTATTTTAAATACAGCAGAAGCTATGAATGATTTTAAGCAAGTGGGTGACTTGATCTGATTATGTTTCTAAAAAGATCACTCTTCCTATTGTGTGGGGAATGGTCAAGAGTGGAAGCAAGACCAGTTCCATTGTAGGAGCCCTGGTGAGGTATTATGATGTAGTGGAGATGGTGAGAAGGAAATCAATTCAGGATATGTTATGCATGTAGAGCTAATTGTTTGTGCTGCTAATTAGAGTCGATGATAGTGTTGAAGGATGAATTCTAAGGTTTCAAATTTAGCAGTTATGTTGATGTGCTGCCCCAAATACCGGATTGTGTGTTGGATAGAATTCTGTTTTCAACCTAAATTTGACATGCCTTTTTATATCAAGTTCTAATATTAAGTAGATTGTTGAATATAATAATGATAATGCTAATAATAAGGGTGATGGTAATAATAGTGATATCAGCTAACATTTACTGAGAATTTGCTCTATGTACCAAGTAATTTTATTATCTCATTTAATCTTCCTAACACCTCTGTGAGGTAGGTATCAGAGATGCTATGAGTTTGTCTAAGAGCGTTGAACTAAAAGCAGTAAAACTGGGCTCTGAACCCAGATTGTCTGACTCCATCTAAAGCCTGTATTCCTAAGCTTTGCACCACATTGCTTTTGGAATGGGGAGCCCAGATTGGGATTAACATTTTTAATCATCAGGATAGAGATGATATTTAAAGCCACAGGCCTTGGTGGGATTATCTCTTGAGACTCTAGAGAAGAGAAGGGCTTTTAGGATTGAATCAATTAGAACTCGGGCACAGAAGGAGCCAGTAAAGCAGACAGAGGAATGTCAGTGAGGTGAGACGGAAGAGTCACATGAGAACAGAGATGAATTCATTGGATTTGGTGTTTCAGAGCTTGTTGGTGTCCTTGACAAGAAGCTTCTGAGGAGTGGAAGGGACAGATGTCCTGCTGATGTGGGTTGAAGAGAGCCTGGGGAGTGAGGGAGGAGAGACTGAGGGCAGCAAATTCTTTTGAGGAATTATGCTGTGAAGGAGAGGTGAAAAGTGAGTTATTATCAAGAAGTTAGATCCAGAGACACATTGTTATATGTTATATGGTGATTGGAGTAATCCTGAGAAGTAAAAGAAATTAAAGATGCTGGGGAAAAAGAAGATTGTTGTAGGAACTAAATCTTGGTGATGTTGGGCATGGATAGGGTACAGTTTAGTGGACAGGGATTAGTTTTTGGTGTGATTCACAGTGTCTTTCTGTTTTAAGAAGGCCTATACTCTATAGCCGGGTTAATATATTTAGTGATGGGAAAAGAAGGGTGCTTCAGTAAGGATTAGGTATTATTCCCATTTTATGGATGAATACTTTGAAGCTCAGAGAGCTTAAGTATCTTAAGGAAGTACGTGACAGCTATTTTAAACCTTAAGTGTGAGGCTTTAGCTCTTTCAAAAGCTTGGAATACAAAGTTATTGTCTGTGGCATGAAGTTAAGTTAAAAAGAAAAAAATTTAAGTACAAACATGTATGTATATATGTGTATGTGTGTGAGTGTATGGGCATGTGAGTGTCTGTAACTTTTTGACTTGAATTGTTGGTAGTGGTTAGGAAGTAGTAATTTTCAGGATGAAAGAAACTAAGTTATATTTATGTAACTCATTATTGATGGTATTTTTACCTTCTATATTTTATTTAAATTCTACTAATATTTCAAGTAGCTTTTCCTCTTCTCACCTTAAATAGCCTCTAACAAAATAGTACTCTCTATCACAAATTGAGAAAAGAATTTTTGATAGTTACTCTAAGAGATGGTACAGAGTCATTACTTGCATTTCAGGTGCATAGTTGTATTGATAAGAAAAATCCTAGATATATGTTGTCTTCCCCACCCACCATAAGTTTAAGTTTTTTGATTTGAATTTTTTTTTCCCTCAAGCCTCAGTAAGTAAAATGTGAGCACCTTTGGATAAGTACTTTATGTACTTTATGTACTTTATGTCTGTCATTATGGACAACGTTAAGAGATTATGGTTGTCTCAGCAGTTTGGTTATTTAATTTATCAAGACTACTTTTTGGCAGAAAGTAATATAATATGAATCTCATACAGACTCAAACTGTTAGGCAAGAGAATCTTTTTCGTTCTCTATTAGTTAAAAAAAAAAAGTTTCAATGATTTGAAAACAAAAAATGGAATTGATTTATAAACAGAAGAATGAGGGATCTTTTGGAAAAATCAGTATCACTAATTTTTAAAAATCTTTTTGTATTGTTTTATAGGAATGTTTAGGTATCCATAATGTCACTAAACCTGTGTCTTCACTTTGTAATGGAATTCATTTTCTACTTCATCCAAAAGTTCTATATGAAATCTCTGCATTTGGCATTCAGGAATCCAAAAATAAGGTATGACATGTTAAAAATTAGTGCAAAAGATTACTATAATTTAGACACTCAGCTAAAGCAAGGTAATATTATAATATAACCAGATAGTATGGTGAGAAACTAAACAGTAATGTGTCTTTAATGTGTTCGATTAGTTGAGGTTTTAAGTAAAAGAAATGTTAAAGAAACGGTGGGAATCAAAATACGAGATATACGTGATGTCAAAGAATTCAGTTCAAATGGTTTACTTAAGTTTTTCATCTAAGATGTAGAAATCTACACAGTTGTTGTAGTAAGCAGGTTATTTCAGTAAGTGAAATTTTTATTCGAGAGAGAAATATTCCTTAAAGATAATAAAAAGTAGAAATCATGAAGGGAGAAAAACTGGTTGAGAATAGAGCATAAGATGATACTATGAAAATATGAACATTTGAAGAAAGATATATTAATTATAGCACCTCCAGATTTTATAAAATGTTACAGGTATGTAAAATGACTTAGAGGGACATCTCATTTTACTGGACTGTTGTACCTGTGTTGTTGAACAGGTAAATGCTGCTGCCAAGGCCATTCTGCTGTATCTGCTTCAGGGACGATTGATGATGACAGCGCTGACTTGGAGCAAGTTTATTGAGTCCCTCTGTCCTGTCATTCCAGTACTACAGGTGCTCCTTGCAATTCACCTTTTACAATGCCATTTATCTTTGGCTGAATGTGATTGATTTAAAAGCATGCAAACAGCGGAACTGTCATGAAAGAAATGAAGAGAAGTCGTGAAGGCATGTGGATAAGTGAATAGGAAGTGGGTGGCTGCCTTGTTTCTGGCAGCAGGTTAAATAAGGATAGCTAATTTGTCAGTGTATATTTTACTTATCTGGATGGGAAGCTAAAAAGTGAGGTGCAGGCACTTTGCACTGACTGTGAAAAATAGAATTCAACCTTATGTAAAGGCTTTCAGGCAAAGCTAACAGTGCTTTTTAACCAGACATTGCATAACTAACTTCATGAATTCTATCTATGCTATATATATGATTAGAGTGATACTTTGTTTAACAAGCTCTTGGAAACAAAGCTTTTTTAGCAGTTCTCCAGGGCTTTATAGGAGTGAGTGAAGTTCAGGTGCCTACCTCCCTTGGATGAAAAGGTGGAGATGGGAAATGCCATCATAGGCATGATCCTTTTTTAGAAGAGAGAGCCAGGCCTTGAGCCTTGAGGCTCACAGGGTCCTTGTTCCACACGTGTAGTGTTAGCAGCACTCCATCTTTGTATTGTGGGTACAGCAGCTGAGGATCTGTGAAGTGCCTCATATTCAGGAGATGCCACTACTAGAATCTCAGATAATAGAAAAACCAGAGAGTGTCAAGTGGGTTGGCATACTTTCCTGAAGTTCTCCAGTATTAGCTTTTGAACACAGTTTTATTTAGGCTCCTTACTTCATATAGGTTATTTTGAAAAGTGACCATTTGATTCAGCTGAATTGAAAGAATTTGAATTTCTTGACAGGCCAATATGGTTCTTATTTTCAAGTTGAAAAGTTAATTAATATGTATAAAATTGAACAGTAATTTCTTTTTCAAAAAACTCTATTAGGGCTATGCTGACACAGAAGACCCTCTGGGCAACTGCATCCTCCTCCTAAGCAAAGCGAGTCCTGAGGCCGGAGAAGAGATTCTCCCCTCAACTACTCGATTAAGGTCCATGCTGCGACTTTTGCTAGTGAAAAAGCCATCGTGAGTATGAAATAATCTTTTAAATGTAAAAGATTAATGGAAACATTATGAGAAAGTATAGTAATTATATCAATTTGAAACAGATTAGAACTCAATAATTTAAAGGAAGGTGATTCCCAATTAGAGAGAGGACTAATGCATGAACTAAGCAGATACAGGGTCTTGTAGGTACTTTCCTGAAGTGTTTCATGCATTTTACAGCCTAGTTATCCCTTGCCAAATTAGTCTGTGTTATAGTACCACTACTAAGTGATATTTAGTTGTGCTATAGACAAGTTGGAGAGCTGTGGAAGATAAGTAGATCGCAAAACTTACAGCACATTACCGTCTTCTCTTTAAAAATTGTTGGCATCCTGGAATGATTTTTTTTCTAAACATCTGTTCTGAAAATCATGTATTTCATAAAAGTGTAGTGGGCAGTTTGCCTCATATACCAGAGTTGTGCAGGTATTTAAATCTCATTTAGCTGTGCTCTTACTTGAGAAACTGGAAAAGTGTCTTTTTTTTTTTTCCTTTTTTTGTCTTTTTTTCGTGACCGGCAACGGATCGCAACCCTCAGTGTGGCGCCCGTACCGGACCGGGACCAGCAACGGGATCGCAACCCTCAGTGTTGCGCCCACACCTCTCTCAGCCAGTGAGCGGCCGGTCCATATGTGGGATCTGAACCCTCGGCGGGAGCGCCACCGCGCTCCCAAGCGGCGCACTGCAGCAGTGCGCCACCAGGCCAGCCCAAGTGTCTTTTCCTTGACCATTAGTATAGGCATCATTTTAAATAAAAGAAGGACTACATTGTTTTCCTTTACCTCATTGTCAATGCAGTATGAATCTTCTCTTACTCTCTAGGTAACAGTGGTTAGATTTTCCCTCATTGAGAAGACAAAAGCTTAGAGTGACGATGGATAAGCAGTGATGAAGAGGGGCAGAGTTGGTTGGAAAGATAATTTCGTTTTCCCCAAATCTTACATCAGGATAATATAGAAGCCTATTTATAAACAGATGATCAGACTGAAAGACTAGGAAATAGGTGGAAATAAACTAAAACATTACGAGAATGGAAGGTGGAAAATCAAGGGAAGAGATTCTAAAAAGATCTGTGTAGTGTACAGAGTACAGTTATGGGTGGTGCGGGAAGACGTAGGGCCGATGGAGTCAGTGTGCTTGTGCTCCCCAGGGACTGGCTTCCACCTGTGCTCCTTAGGCTCCTGGCAGCATGTTTACTAATGGGCTAATGCAGTGCTCCAAACTCTAACACACTTCCAAATTTGCTGATGTAACACAATACAAGTTTATTTCTTCTTCACTTTTGGGGGCCCAAGGTCTCCAGGTAACCAGCGACACTCTTATCAGGCAGGACATCCTCAGGAGCTCAGGGCAAGGACAGACCTCTCTTTGTGTAAGGTAATTACCTATTACCTCTATTACACAGAACTTAAGATAATATGAATTACATACTTGTATTTGTTTTCCTTATTTAATTGATTCTACCCTGCACGTTTCTCTTGGCCCTGGGGGTCTCAGGAGGCAGGACTACACGTAGCCTCTGCCAGGAGTCGCCCAGGAAGCAGGGCTACACATAGCCCTGTCAAGAGAGTGCAGCGAGGTGAGTTGCTCAAGATGCACCTGAGATTGGGGCTGCCACCTAAGGACGTGGGCGACCAGAAACCAGACACAGAGATCTGAGACTTAGCTCACACACTAAGCAACTTTATTCTCTGAAAGCATGTACTATATATGTTTTAGCCAGCTGTAAACCCCTCCCACCCCTCCCTGTCTCCTAGGCAACCCTATAGGAAGTCTGTTGTTTGTGGTAAAGCCTTGTGAATTTTTGCTGACACAGACTTTTGCATTCTTGCTGACGTAGGCTCAGTCCTGTATAGCAACAGTGACTCCATCTGTAATATGTGTCCTCCTTAATTTTCCTCCACTACCCCATCTCACCAACTGTGTAGGCAGGAACCCTGTCCATTGGCTCATCTTTCTATCCTCAGAACGTCATAGAGCACCTTATGCATAAGTACACTCAAGTATTAGTTGAAAAAATTAAATACATGTGTAGGAATAACTGGATTCTGGCACCCCATTCTAAACCTAAAAAGATGCTATGTTTATATACCAGAGAAGAAGATGCATAAATATAATTTAGATAGCATTGGCTTGGAATGAAAGGAACAAAGAAAAACCATTAGGTTGTCCAAGCTTTCTAGAAAAGCTTGCATGAGGTAACTCAGCAAGTAGGAAAGGGAGAAAGTTTGCCTGACTTCTCACACCATTCCAGAGTAAATATTAGTCCTCTGGAGATGATGTCTGTTAATAAGATTGCAGTAAATATCTGTGTTCTATTAGATTTAGCAAGTATTTATTGAGTGTCTACCATGTGCTTGTGAGCCATGGCTGGCTATGGAACGTAGCAGCACACAACACAGACATGGGCCCTGCCCTTCCAGAATTTGGTGTGTAATTGGGAAGATAGATCTTTTTATCAATTATACTTTATTATTAATTTTAATATGGTGAGATAAATGTTATGATTCAGGGGACTTTAGGCTGACAGGCCCACACACAGCAAGATGACCTGACCTAGTCTGTTGTAGGGAGGCTTCCCTGAGTATGCATGTTTTAATTGTTGTCTTATTGGTAGTACTTAAAACCTGGCAACTTATATTATCATGCAAAATTTGCACAGTTTCCAGGTAGTTCAAGAACCTATCAGAGGACTGACAGATACATGGTTGTCTCACTATCTCCCACTTTATGGTTTTTCTATTTTTCCATTTCATTGTCTAGTGGCATGCAGTATGTAATCTTTTCTTGAGAATCTCCCACCTTACCCGACCTTAATCTTAATCCATTCCAGATAAAGAATTTTGATGGAAATCAAAAGTATTTGTACTTTCATATTTGAGAGGAATCTGTTTGATCCCTAATATAAGAAGATGTTCATATATTGTAGTAATATCACATTTTAGTTATCAGTGTAATGACTCTCCAGGAAGTTTGACTTGATGTTTAGTCTTTGGTCATAGATCTGTGATTAGATTTGAAGTCAGGAATTACAGATTTAATTTTCTGATAAACTTACTGAAGTTGACTGTGATACGTAGCCTTAGTGAGTCTGTCTCATTTGTTTTGATGTTTACTTTATAAATATTATGAAGTTGAATAAGTAATTGTAGTTATATTCTTAGTAATGGCAGTATAAGAATGGCTAATTATTGTACTTTGATATATGATAATTTTTCCATAGACATTTTATAGACATTTGTGTATTACAGAACGCCGACTTGAACGCTTTGTGTTTTTAGGGTCCGTTCACTAGCATTAAAGCTTCTAGCGTTTCATCTTAAGAGTGAAGAAGGGGCTGATACAAAGCGCCCTTTAATAGATGCCAGAGTTCTCTCCAGAGTTACTAATTTGTTTATTGTGAGAAAACCTATTGAACTCAAACTGGATGACAGAAGAGAACTGGTTATTAAGGTAATATAACTTTTCAGTTTATTACTGTGTGGTTATTTGATATGTTTGTCACATGTTTTATGTAACATTCTTCAGTTTGTGTATGTCTTGGGGAGGGAGAGAAATGTGGTGATTCAGGCTAATTTGAAATTGTGTTCTGGCTTCTGGGTACATTTATTTATTGGACAAATATTTTTTGAGTGCCTACTATATGCCAGATATCATGTCCCTTTTAATTTAGCATGCATACTGGAAATGCAAATCTTTTTTTTTTTTTTTTTTTTTTTTTTTTTTTTTTTTTTTTTTTTTTTT